AGGGTGTAATGTATGCAAGTGTACCTTGATTTTGTCTCAGACATATTATGCATAATGATATCATTGTTGATTTCACAATTATTGTTTTTTTTTTTTCCTGATCTCATCTCATCTAGCATTACACAAAACTGAGCTCTTTTACATAGAGGATTGCCAAATGACACGAAACGTCTTTTGCATATAACGATTCTTAGTCTAGTTGTGTTACTAAGGTACCACACTTCCTGTATGTATGGGAAGACGTGTGTACTGTAAGCAGCAAAAAGAAACGTCATAGGCTTGAAGCATTTCGGATGAGATCAAATCCTATACGTAGAGACAGAAAAGGAGGAGCGAGGGGCGGGTGTAAGATACAGGGTAGTAATTGTCTCTATTTTCATACTTTATACAAACTACAGACAAAGAAACGACAAGATAAGCGAGGTGTATGAAGAGATTGTCTTGGATTCTTTGCCTACTTTCTGTGTTTGTAGATGGCTGCAACTATTATCGATTCTTATGGTTTCAGCACACATTTTTGCTGATTCGATGCCATCTTTAGTCACATTCTATTGGGACCCATGGAGATGTTACGTGTGTGAAGGGGGCTGCTGTCGGTACATGGATTAGGATTGAGAAGTGGAAAGTGGAAGGTGGGGAGGGGGGGGGGTGAAGGTTATTCATCATGGATGGTAACGACGAGCCTATTACTGTGTAAAACTGTGGCTCCAACTAAAGATTAATAAGCGATAACCACTAGAGGGAGATAAAGTTAAGGCCGTAGATTCAACTGCCCGCCTTACTCTACTATCTATGTCTTTCTCTTTGTTGTTGTTGTTGTTGTTGTTGTTGTCTTTGTCTCTCTGTCTGTCGTCTATCAGTTTATGGGTGCGCGTCGGAGGAATCATATTAGAAATTGCACCGAAGTTTGACAGATTTTAAATTTTTTTTGTTTGTAAAGAACTGAACAATTCCTCCGAGAATTGACTGTTATTACAGTGAGGTAGACGCTGAGCTTTCTTCTTTGGAATGTTCTATTTTTAATACAACACTCTATACACCAAGGTCACCCCTAAATACTCAACACAGGAAACAGGAAAGGCGGGGTGCAGGGGAGAGGTGACAGCACAGACTAATTCTTGATCACTGATAAACTAATACCTTCTCCCTTTCAATTGATTTTGCTCCGCCATCATAACAATATTTCCGTCTACGCTCACCATCTCCTTCCGTAATCTAAACCACTCGTTTTGTATACCAGTTGTTACACACCTTGGTGTGTACACCTCGTGGGGGAGGGGGGCACCAATAAACAAATTTCTAAAGTTACACCCCCCTCTCTCTACTAGTCTTTGTATACACTACTCCCCTATCGTTCCATCTTTGCGTCTCTTGTTTGTCTCAGAGAGAGAGAGAAAAAAAAGAAATTTAATTCAAAGTTGCACAAATTCACCTGTCTATCAGAAAAAAAGAAAAAAGAAAAAAAGAAAAAAGAAAAGGAGGAAAGATGACTGCGAAGGTTAAATCAATCATATATATATATATATACCCACAATTTCCAATCGTTTCATTCCATTTCTTCTTCCTTTCCTACTTTATCATTTGATAAGCATACATTACCTTATACACAATCGTTAAAACTTCAATAAACTATGGATACTGCAGCATACTACTCCTACGACAATATAGTACCCAACTTTAGGTTGGATGGCCGTTTAGCTATCTTGACTGGAGGTCTGGGTGGTTTGGCCGCTGTGGTGGCAAGAGCCTTATTAGCACAAGGTGCAGATGTTGCATTGGTTGATATCAGTCTACCAAAAACCGAAGAGGCTGCCAAGGAAGTTCTCCTTTGGGGTGAACAAGAACTCAAAGGCAAACACGAATCACCAATTGGCCAAGTTTCTGCATGGGCATGTAATATTGGTGATGCTGAATCGGTTGAGTCAACCTTCAAATCAATCAATGAACAACACGGTAAAATTGCCGATCTTCTCATAAACAGTGCTGGTTATGCTGAAAATTTCCCAGCTGAAGAATACCCAGCCAAGAATGCCGAGTCTATTATGAAGGTGAATGGGTTGGGTGCTTTCTACGTTTCACAAGCATTTGCCAGACCATTGATTGCTGCCAACAGAAAGGGTTCCATCATACTTATCGGTTCTATGTCGGGGACTATTGTCAATGACCCACAACCACAATGTATGTACAACATGTCAAAAGCCGGTGTTATCCACTTGGTAAGGTCGTTGGCTTGTGAATGGGCCAAATACAACATCAGAGTTAACACATTGAGTCCGGGATACATTTTGACTCCATTGACGAGAAATGTCATTGCTGGTCATGGTGAAATGAAGGCTGAATGGGAAAGCAAGATTCCAATGAAGAGGATGGCTGAGCCAAAGGAGTTTGTTGGATCTATCTTGTACTTGGCTTCAGATTCAGCTTCCTCTTATACCACCGGCCATAATTTGGTGGTTGATGGTGGTTACGAGTGTTGGTAGAGAGTATAGTATTATTAATTAATGAATTGAGATTACCGATTTTTTTTTTTTTTTTGTTTGGAAACCCGTTCACTACGTTTAATTGTAAGCTGGGCAGTTTGGCACAGACCTGGAAACACCGGTACGTCTGTTCAACAAGGTCAACAGGGTCAACTGGTAACTTTTCAAACGTTTCTTTATTCCCCTCCCCATCCCTCTCTCTCTCTCTTTTGGCGCGAAATTGCAGCTACGCACCCATTTTCGCATTTCTTATCCCCCAATTGGGAAATGCTTAGCGCAAAAAAATGGTCCAAGTAATTAAAATAATTGGGGGTGGGGGAGAGGAGAAGAGAAAATGGCTGTGACTATAAATAAGTATATACACAACTGTGCTCTTGAGCTCTACAGCAGTGTAGCAGCAGATATCACAATGTCAGTCGTTATCAGACCAATTGAAGCAAAAGATAAAGAACAATGGTTGAATCTCTGGACAGGTCCACTTGGATACATTGAATTCTACAAGTCGTTAGATAAAATCACGCCAGAGATTTCCGAAACTACATTTGCTCGATTTCTTGATCCAAAAGAGCCTGTATACGCATTGGTGGCAGTTGACCCCCATACTGACAAGATCATTGGTTTTGCCAATTACTTGACCCATAGAAACACATGGACCATCAACGATGCGTTATACTTGAACGATTTATTCGTCAGCGAGACACTGAGATTACATGGTGTGGGTAGAAAATTGATTGAGGCTGTTTATGATGAAGCTGATCGATTGAAATGTGAAAAATGTTATTGGTCTACTCAGTTTGAAAACCATAGGGCTCAGTTGTTGTATACGAAAGTTGGAGTCAAGTCTGGATTCTTACTTTATCGCCGTCCTAATAAGTTTGAATGAAGTGGGAGCCGTAGATGTTGATAGATAGATAGGAGAGATATCATTTGAATACGAGATAGATTGTACTTTTGTACACGACGTTTTCTGCTTTTGTTTTGTTTTTACGAATGTCGTGTTCACAAAGATATATATATATATGACACCTCCCTTATACAATACCCTTATCTCCCTTTCTTTTCCTGGTGCTAATTCTTATCATGAATTTCATCAAAAAGTTTATAGGAACCGCGTCCACCGATGAGGTTGCCTCCATTCCATCCGGGAAACTTTTTCTAACACGCTCAAAACAATCACCAAAGGGAGAAATTGAATGTTTATACAATGACGCTTATGCAGCAATAAAACAAACAACAACGCCATTTTTCTACCAATTGTGCATCACCAAGGTGTATCAAGAAGGAGAACGTCAATTTGGTCATGATTCCAACTATTCCGATGACGATTATGACGAGGATGAAGATGATGAAATTGGTGCCAATTCATCCATAGTTTCACCAAATGCCAAGTACGATTCTGCATCAAAAGATGAATGGGTGTTTCCGATAACTGAAGATTTGAGATATTTCCGTAAAGATCTCGCATCTGATGGAAGTTCGAGAGCTATTGCTTGGAAGGACTTGAATGGAGATTTAGGCGACAAGTTTGAATTTATTGTTGGTGATGATGTGAGAAATAGTGATTTTGAGTCCTTTATGACAACTATTTACAAGTGTTTGTATGAAGAGAAGTACCATGAAAGTTCAATAAAGATTAATGATTTGAGTTTATTGAAGGAGTTTATTTACAAACCGGAGTTGTTGAATTTTGAAGATTTCGAATATGAAAGTGATCATAGCCATGGGGATTTCAAGGATGCCACGAGTCCACGAAATGAAGAGGAGCAGTCGTTGTTTGTTGATAATGAAGATATAAACAGCTCAGCTAGTGAGAATGAGAAGCAGACAGCTCCTAAAGGTGATGTTGTATATTCGACAAAAAAGTTTGCTTTACATTTGTATGATTCTGCCACGGGTACATTTGTGATAAAGAGCAGCTCAGTTGAATTGGAATTGATTGATTTGAGTGAGTGGGAGCATACATTGTATATTAGGTCAAGTGAAGGGTTGGTTGTTAATGCGACAGTGAGCAAGAATATGAATCCAACTTTTAATTACGAGCATCAGTCGTTTATCTTCAACCATTATACATTTAAGGAAAATGAGATTGTTGCCAATTCATGGCTTTTGAAATTCTTGGAGTTTAACGGTTTGGTTCAGTTTCAAAATAAATTTGTTGTTGCAATGTATGAAACGTTGAATAAGAAGAAATTTGGTGCGGATAAAGGAGAAGATGAGTATTTTGTTGATGCTTTTTCAAACTTGGGATTGGATGATACAGCGAGTGAAGTAGATGATGATGATGATGATGAAAAGGAGGAGGATGAAGAGGAGAAAGAAGATGAGGGGCAGGACGGCTCCAACAAATTATCTGCACGTGAGTTTAACAAAGAATTGCAAAATTTTTCCAAAAAGGACAAGAATACATATTTGAGTGTTGGATACAAAGACCGTGCTTATGTTGCTCGCGGTGACAAGATTGGAGTGTTTAGCCAAGATGACAAGGCTTTGAATTTCCAAACCACCATCAACAATGTGACCGACTTGAAAGGTCACAACTTCAATCCTGAAAAGATGTTGCTTCATCAAGAAGATCAGTTTTTGATATTATCCAATCCTGACATTAACGACAAGGTACTTTACAAAATGGATCTTAACCGAGGTAAAGTTGTTGAGGAATGGAAAATCTCCGATAATGTGCCGATCAAGTCGTATGCTCCTAGTTCCAAGTTTGCCCAGTTGACAAATCAGCAAACATTGACTGGTATTTCTTCCAATGGACTTTTTGAAATTGATCCTAGGTTGAGCGGAACCAAGTTGGTTAATGACCAAACTTATAAACAATACAAAACCTCAAACAATAAATTCCAGGCATTAGCTACAACTGAAAGTGGTCACATTGCATTAGGTTCAGGAAAAGGTGACATTCGTTTGTTTGATAGATTGGGTGTCAATGCTAAAACCGCATTGCCCACATTGGGAGACCCTATTGTGGGTATTGATGTGTCGAAAGATGGTAGATGGATATTGGCCACTTGCAAAACGTACATTTTGTTGATAGACACCATGATCTCGTCTGGACAAAAGAATGCTGGAAAGTCAGGATTCACGGCGTATTTCGATAAAGATAAGAAGCCAACGCCAAGACGATTACGTTTGTTACCTGAACACGAAGCATTTATAAACAATGCCAACCACAAGAAAGAGTTGCAGTTTACGCGGGCGTATTTCAATACGGGATTGGACAAGAAGGAGACAGCGATTGTATCATCTACTGACAATTATATAATCACATGGTCGTTGCTGAAGGTTTTGAAGAATGATCCAACTCCGTACGTTGTTAAACGGTATAAGCAAAATGTCGTTGCTGATAATTTCAAATACGGCTCGAATAATCAATTGATTACGGCGTTGCAGGATGATGTGTCAATGGTGAGTCGAAGAAGTTTGGTTAATCCAAAGGATGTGTTTCAACAATAAATTAGTTTTTGCTGTAGCTTTTTAATAATAATACAATTTTTTTCTTTTTTTTAGTTCTTCGGTCACCAGAATCTGAAAGTGCTCTTCATCTCCTGAGCCCACACTCTTCTGAATGCATTCAACTTTTGTAGTCGAGTCGGCTTGAAATCGTGGATATCCATCTCTTTCAATTGTGAAAGATCTGGGTAATGATCGTATGGGATACGGTTGATTCTTGCGTGAATTTTACGAACCCATCTATTGAAACCGGGCGAGTCGATTAGTAGCCGGTATAGGTATTCATGTATTGAGTTTGGTGGTGGTCTCATTTGTGTAGTTAGACGGGTGACAAGTCTTCGTAATCAAATGCCATAGCAATATTGACGAGACTGAGATTTTTTTTTCCCTCTTTTGAGTTTGGAGAATAGCCGATAAATGGTGCACTGAAGAACACGCCAGGCTCATATGCACATGGGGCTGAGGGGTGAGGGACAGGGCAGGGGTGCGGCGGTATACAAACTACACTAATACCAATTTTGTAAACGAAGAACAACTACTGAAAGTCTGTAGTCACAGCTACGGTATGTAGTGGTTACTCACGTGATACATATAATTTCCTATTAAAGACAAAATGTAAACACAGCTATTTCAGAACACAGAGCATCACCAAAGTGAAAGACATAACAAATCCAATCACAGATATCACCAAAACCACTACACACACACACACACACACACACACACACACACACACACACACACACACACACGCGCGCACGATATACCAAACACCATGGCCAGATCACTATCATCCCTGCTGGAGGATGATGCATTGATTGATGACATTGAAGAAATTGATTACGATCTTCTACCGCAAGATGCTTCTGTACACAAACAGCCGCTACAGCAACAGGCACCGATTCCAAACAGACCTAAATCAGCGCCACCTCATCTAGATAATATGCGAATATGCCTTCCACCGAATAAGAACAACACTAATCGATATACGAATGAATTGTTTGACGCTACAAACCACTTCATACAGGTTGCTTCAGCACGAAATTCGGAAAACTTTTCAGCGATACCACCAGATCAAAAGTTTCTTGGGTGTATTGAATGGAACCAGATGGAAGAAGTTGACTTTGAAATGGATGATGTTACAAGGACCAGGGTATTTAGCAATCGATTCAAAAGACCTATAGATGAAATCAACCCAGAGTTGAGCGAATACTTTAGATTGCATCAAAATGAAAACAAGGAGAACTTGACCAAAGCTTATAGAGTTACGAAAAAGGCACCCAGTTTGAACAGAAGAAAGAGCCTACCTCTAGTCGAAACCAACAATATTCAAAAGAAAGTCATTCTGCCATTCAAGCATAAACCGATAAAAGCTGCCACTAGACCAACTGGGGTATGCCAGCCAAGACACCAGACCCTCACTCCATCAAAGTCGTGTCTCAGTATTGAGAATGCAAAAGTTTACCTTATGGAATCGCTGACGGGGTTGGTGAGTCAAGCAACGGATTTTGCTACTGAGATAAACGGGTCTAGTGACAATTTACTACCGTTTCCTGACAATGAAGATGAAGTGGTGCAGATACCAACAAACTCCAATGACGCTCAACAAATGGCAATTCTTCGAATGTACAATGTAAAGTTGGATAGAGCAAGGAAGGGAATGCGAACTGGGTTTTATTCGGAAAAGGAATTTAGAGATTATCAAGCCAAGCTCAAGAAAGAGGCCATGAATGCAGCTCTGGGAGTGGAAGTAGTTTCTCAAGATACACCAAGAGAAGATAAGCATACAGCAGTAAAGGAGAGACGAGTGCAGTGGGCTGATAATTTGGAGTGGTAGTGTGTAATGTAGCTTTTTATAGACTGTACGTTTTATCTAAGTATTTTGTGCTCGTCACAGCCACTCGACTCGTAACGCGTTGACAACTTTTTTTTTTTTTTTTTTTTCCTTCTTCACCGAAATTTCAGTTCCCAAGAGAGCACCACCACACCACTGACTACACCACTGACTACACCACATCTACTTCAATATGTCAACTTTCTTTGATGAAATGCAAAAGTCCTTTGCCGACGTGAAAATCACAGACGGTAAAATCGACACCTCAGATTTCTTGCAAGCTTCTGAGTCACTTGTCAAATTGTTTGACTTGTTAGGTTCAACTGCATTTGTTGTTGTTCAAAATGACATGAATGGCAACATTGCCAAGATCCGTAAGAAACTATTAGAAGACCCAGCCAACGCCTCCACTTTGCAAGATTTGGTCCTCACTGAATCTAAAACCAAGACCAAGACCGCAACCCAGGGTTTATTATGGTTATCACGAGGCTTACAATTCACAGCACAGGCAATGAGAGAAACCATTGATCAACCAGACAAAGAGTTGACTGCTACGTTTACTGATGCTTATGGTAAAACCTTGTCCAAGTACCACGGTATGTTTGTTAAGCCTGTTTTCAAGTTGGCCATGCAAGCATGTCCTTATCGAAAGGACTTTTTCGCGAAATTGGGGGCTGACCAGACTAAAGTTGCTGAGCAATTGAAAGCTTGGTTAGAGGCTTTGGAAAAGATTGTCAAGATTATCTTTGATTTCTTTGCCTCGGGCAACTACGGTAAAGGATTGTAAAAAGAAAAAGAATGTAATGAGGGAAAGTGTGAATATCGGACATATCTATATATACATATATGTAACAAACAAGTAGACTCTATTTGATATAGTTATTGCAACACGGTAGACTCCACAACAAGCTTTATTCTATTTCATCCTCGCCGATTTTCTTAGTGGCCTTCATCAATTCATACAATTGACCAATTTGCTCAGGTGTCATTCTGTCCAATTCCGTCTTGCTCAATTTCCCATCGAGCCATTTGCCTCCATCAACTTGTTTCAAGTAGTCTTGCCATTCAGTCAAGAACCCAACTATATGCAATGGATTATCAATTTTCTTGTGATCCTTAAACTCCTTCTTGACGTACTGGTCACCCAAGTATCGCAAGTCCTGGGGTAATTTATGCACGTGAGCTCGTAGTATGGCGTGGTATAGTTTTAGTGGTGGGAGCAACGGGGTTTGGTTTGGTCGTTCTGGACGACGTGGTCTTACCCGAAGGGCAAGTGTTGGTCTCATTTGGTAATAGTGATTGGACTGGGATGGAATTAGCCAGCAGCTGCTGCCCCTGGACAATATTGATAGATTTTTCCAGTTCAAAAGAATTCTTAATGAGAAATCCTGCATATAAAGCTAAATCTAAAGCTACAATTTTTACATCTAATTGGTAAAGAGCCCGCCAAGGCGAGGGACAAGTATCTTAGCTTTCAGATGGATCTTCTCGAGATGATGGAACACTCCCGTTGCCAAGAGCCTAAGCAAAAGCATCATGGTTGGAGAATTTCGAAACCACGTTGGAAATTGAGGCAAGTTGCTTGCGAATTCACTATTGATTGCAAACACAGCCCACATTCTGACATATAGCAGAGTTTCAACGTCGAATTGGACATGCAGAAGGCTTATAACTTCCCGTTCCCTGTGGTGTCTCTTCTCAATCAATCCATTGATAAAGATTCGATCACCCTTTTGGGTAATAGCTCAGGGATGAAGTACCTAACTAACACGGCAATGACTACTCTGCCCCCTTGCATTAGACAATGAGCCATAACAATGTTTCCTTTGTCGTTGATTGTTTTTTTCCAAACTGGTCAATGGCCTGTTTATGTTTACACTGAAACCGAATTAGGAACAGGTAGCGCGGTATTTGAGGCTTTCAGGTTTTTGTAACATTTTAACTTTTTCCAACTATTTCCCGATTAGGAATATTCTTTGATCAATTTGGTCCAAATGAGGCATCAACGTCTATACGAAACACAGAGTTACTAACCTTTAACTATATAGCAAAGACGATGATTAACAAGGTGAAGACGATACATATAAAGAGTCGATTTTCGTTGAGATCAGGAATGTGAATTTGGAAGATGTTCATCATTCATTCTTTTTTCCCACCACATTCATTCGTTACTTTGTAACCAGAGTCTGCACAATAATGAGAGTCAACACACTCATACTATCCGCAACATTAGCTGCTGCAGCCCCAGCTTCAATTGATAATGCTGAATTATCTGCTGTTCTCAACTCTGCCCAAACTGAGGCTCAAACAGCCTCGAATGCTGCTTTAGGGGGTGCTTTACAGAGTTCCAATACAGGTTTGGGTGCAAATACGGGCGCTGCAACAGGTACCGCCACTGCTGCTGGTTCCGCAAAATCTTCCGACTCCATTGGGAACTTGATTGATGGGTTATATGGAGGTCAATCTGGTGGAAGTGGTCAAACGCAGGCTAGCACTACTCAACCATCTTTATTCGCGTCTGGTGCTTCAACTGGACAAGCTAAAACTACATCAGGATCAGGTGGAAATTTACTTGGTGACCTTTTTGGATCTGGATCTGGCTCTGGCTCTGGCTCAGGTTCAACTGCTGGTGGTGTTGCCAGTAAAGCCCTTACTACGACATCTACTGGTCAATCAACGGCCACAACAGGGGGATTTCTTGATGGGTTGTTGGGAGGTATCTTTGGGGGAGACTCTGGTGCTGCTACGGGTTCCACGACGACAAGCACCACCAGTGCACAATCAACTTCAACTGGAAGTGACTCATTAGGCAACTTGTTTGATGATTTCTTTGGATCAAGCTCAGGAAACACCACCACAACTACATCCACATCACCGAAATCAACTTCCACCGGTGGTTCTCTACTCGGTGATATCTTTAATGAACTCTATGGCACTGGCAGCAGCTACGGATCCAACTCATCAGGCTCATCCACGCCTTCATCCTCCTCCTCCAGTGGCGACTCATTCATTGACGACATTCTTGACGCTATCTTTGGTGATTCAAATTCCACTTCATCGTCGTCCTACTCCTCCAGTTCCAGTTCAGGAAGTGGAGATCTCATTACTGATCTCTTAGGACTTGGAGAGGACGTTTTTGGTGAGTTATTTGGTAATTCCAGTTCGTTCTCTGGACAAAGCATCATTGGTTCATTGTTGGGTTTTGCTGGTGAGATTTTTGATGATTTGTTTGAAAGCAATTCTTCCAACTCTACTGGTTCATCAGGTTCTTTCTTCAGTAGCTTGTTGAGCTCATTATTCGGTGGTTCGAGTAGCTCATCAAGCAGCAGTGGATCTTCATTCAGCTTTTCCGATTTACTTTCAGATGTATTCACAACGTTATTCAGCTCCATCTTTGGTGGATCAAATGGTGCTAGTAAAGGCCAATGCACAGCAAAGAGATCATTGAAAAGAAGCTTGTCTGAACAACAGCAGATCAAGAAGATTGTTAGAAAGAGTGTCAACAGAGTCATTGCCAGAAGAAAAGCAGAATTTCAACAAAAAGCAAAGAGAGCAGAGACTTTGTCTGATTTGCCTTATGTCAACCTTATGTAAGTGTCTATCACCCTCGAGAAACAATTTATACCCGATGCTACTATTTTATAATACACACAAGATTCAGTTTAACTTTCAATATCTATTCTTTCTTTTGTAAACTTGATGCAAAGCCTACGTACACTGGGAGCGGCTTAGGTGTCAGCAGATATTGTTACATCTTTTCAGGTGAAAAAATTGGGCTTAGCCTCCAAGCCTGTGCCGCTGCCACCAAAATACGCTTGGTGAAGTATTATATCCTCCTTCCACACCGTCCATGTGTCCAACGTCTGGGATGTTACCGTGGTCGTTAAGTGCCGCCGCAGCTGCTTCCTCGTATGTAGGATAATCACTAAAGACACCCAAATTACGATCACCATCCACACCGCGTCTATGATAACCGCGAAGTAAACTGGTGTAACTTGCCACATTGATTGCAGTGTTGCAGGTTAGGTGGTTGACGCATTCCTGAACACCAGCTAGCTTTTCGTTATACTCATCCAACATCACTATGACCAATGTAAATACTCAAATAATTGCTATCATTATTGTAATTTACTCTGCAAGTCACGTTGAGTGCATGGATACAATTGATAATGTCTATTAAGTCAACCATTTTTGGAAATGGGGACTTGACTCAATTGTAAAGTGGATCTTTCACTACATCTACACTCTACATACATTGTTTGTCATGAGCTTCGACATTATAGTAAAGGTCAAAATAAACCCGAAAATCCTTCTACAATAAGCCCCACGTCTTTTCCCGATTGTGTTTCTTTAGTCAAAGATTGACACATTTCAAAACTATTCTTGAATACTACTTCTAACCATGAATTAGACGGGGTTAAGAGTTTCTTTATTGAAGAGAGAATCTAGATTTAATCACTCTCAAAATCCGCGAGTCCCTTAAATTTGTTTTCCGAATTAAGTATATTTTTGTTTTGCGTATGTTTAGACGCTATACATGAAGGGTTTGAGTATCCTGAGCATACACGAGCAGCACTCGTGAAGATTCTACTTAGAGGGCTAGGGCAAGGGAGACTAACCTTGACAACGAGCGTTGAGGCAACTGCGAACTTACAAAATGGCGAAGAGGACATTTACGAAACCTCAAACTCATTATCCTCAATCAAACACACAAGGAGATGCCATACACTACAATACACTCCTGTTCTCCATATATATCTCCGCACATCACCAATTCTATTTCTTCCAGTTACGAGCTGGAGTTTACGATTTCACCAAATACCTACAATGTGCAGGGTGTATCAAACGACAATGCAGTTTACATGTTGCTTCCAAGTCCCCCCCCAAGTTAGGAAAGTCTCAGAAAACAATAACAGATCTTTCGCTTAATACTCCGCAAGAGCTTGAAATGTATTCCACTTCCATATATTTTCTATTAAACTCACAAGTTTGTACAAGTTTCATAAATGCTTAAAAATCCATCTGACTTCCCAATTGGGAAATTTTTTTACCTCCACACAGTAATTCACACGACTAAAAAACAATGGGCTTGTGCTTATATGCACTACTAACACAAAGACCCACAAGCTGCAAAATTTACCAAATTGAGAAAAGAGTATATACCCCAAAACATTTACAACCAAATCGAGTTAATACTATGTTTTGCGTGAGAAATAGATACAGGGACCTTTCAAGCTCATTTATAACAAGCACGAAAGTATAATTCGTTCAAGAAATCTCTTCCTCTTAAAGATTTTTTGAGTTCCTTCAATCTTCGGCACCCTGTTAAAACCAATTAGCAATTGACTCCCATTTCATACTTTCGTTAACGTTCGAGCTACAAGTCAGGAATTGAAAAGGGTTGAAAATGAAAGTGACCACGTTAACTTCAATTTGTTTGGCTTTGATGGCTTTTGCCAATGCGGAGGGAGTTCAACAACAGAAGAGAAACTTTTTTGATGATATTATAAATGGAATCACAGGTAACACGGCCACGGCAGCAGCAGCCAACTCACAGGCTCCATCATCACCAGCAGCCACAGCAGCACAAACAGCAGCCACAGGAGCCACTGCATCCGCCAATGGAGGATCCACATCAACAACGCTTGAAGCCGACGACGAGGCTGATTGTGTAGACGAATCATCTACACCAGCAGCAAGCAACCCAACTTCATCAAGTCCAGCTTTATCCAGCTCCACACCATCATCCTCATCTCCAGGAGGTCTTGGGTCTATCTTGTCAAACTTGTATCCAGGCTCAGGATCATCATCATCAACCCCAAGCAACACACAAACCATTGCTGGACAATCATCTTTGTCACAAAGCTTGGATCCTGTTGCATCAACATTGAGCAACGCACCTCCATCATCGTCTTCCAATTCATCATCTGCAACAACAACCGCAGGTGGAAACTTCCTTTCAAGCCTTTTGCTGCCATCGAATGGCTCTCAATCTCAAAGTTCCTCAAGTTCTGAACCAGATGACGGTGAAGAGTGTGAAGACCCAACAACTAGTCCCGTAGCCTCAAATACCAACATCGTCCCAACAAACACCGGAGGAATCACTTACCCCACCACCACAGCTACAGGAAGCAACACCGATCCTACTTCCTCTGGTAACTGGTTGAGTTCATTGTTGAATCCAGGAACCTCAACTGTTGCTGGCGTTTCATCAGAGCCAGCACTTTACAACTCCCTGAGCACGTCATTGCACCCAAGCTCTTCCCTTGCTGGTGTGGTTACTACTCCTGCCGGAACAAGTGAAGAAGATGATTTGACAGATTGTGAAACTGCCACCAATGACCCTACAACAAATGTATACACTTCAAGTCCAACCACAACCACTGGTGGAAATGGCGGAATTGGTGGAACCACTACCCCAACGGTTACTTCTAAGCCTACTTCAAATGCTGCCAACACAAGTGAAGAAGATGATTTGACCGATTGTGAAACCAATACTGATGTCCCACCAACTAATGGAGTTCCCACCACCACAACCAAAGCAACTACAGTTGCAGGCGACCCTAAAACTACTACCATCACTACTACTAATGCAGGTGGTGGAGTAGCAACTACTACTGTCACCACGAAGGGTCAAGGTACTGCAAAAGATCCTACTACTGCTGCACCAGGTGGAGCCACAGTAACCGAAGCACACACAGTTACACTTACATACACAGGTGCTGGAAAGACGTTTACAACTTATGTTACTCAACAACCTGATGAATGTGCAGAGACTGTGTACTACACTGTTACCACCGTTGTTCCATGTACCACTGTTGCTCCTGGCGGAGGTATCACCACCACCACAGTTACCGTTGTTGTCACCCAAACTGTTTACCCACAAGATGAGAATGATTCTGATTATGGCTACTCAAGTGAATCAAGCGGATCTAGTGGATCTAGTGGCTCTAGTGGATCCAATTACGGAGGATCAAGTGGCTCAAGCGGATCAAGTGGTTCATCAGGAGATGATAGTGGTGACTGGGAATGGATTGAAGAAGGCGATGAAGATTGTACAACAACCACCGCCACATCTGTTGCTACTAGTGGTTCGGGTTCATCAGGGTATGGCTCATCAGGATCCGGCTCCGGCTCGTCAGGTTATGGATCATCAGGCTCTGGATCATCGGGTTCTAAGTCACCAAGTTATGGATCATCAGGATCAGGATCATCAGGCTATGGCTCAGTCGGTTCAGGTTCAGGTTCAGGTTCAGGTTCAGGCTCATCAGGTTCCGGTACAAGTGATCTTAGTGGTTTGCATCCTACTGATATTGTCTGCCCAGGAGAAGATGGTTATGATAGTGGAGATGATGACTACACCAGCACATCTGGACTGACCTTAGCTCCTACAGAGGAGTGTGACGACGAAGAGGTTGACGACAATGATGATGATTGCGAAGAAACTACAACGTCGAGTTATCAAAACAGCACTGCGTCAGCCACCCATAACTCAACAGTACCTGCACCATCGTCGACTGCCTACTTGAATGGAACTTACGGATTCTTGAAGAATGCTGAAACTGTTGCTGTTACCACCACCCAAAACACTGTGGTGACTGCTTCGGGAACTGCTTCCACAGGTGAAGCTGCAGTTTCCCAAGTCAATGCCGCTAACAAATTGGGAGCTACTGGAATGAATGCTGGATTATTCACTTTTATTGCTGTTGCAGGATACTTTTTGTTGTGAATTTGAGCTTGTAGCTTGCAAGCAGTCAAGACTTGATTCATACATTTCAATTTGCGTTGCTCATTTTTTTTTTTTTATAGTCGGTTTAAGTGGCTGGCATTGATGTGTTAGATTCTAGACACTGGTGTGATACCTAAAAACAAAATCTTTTCTTCACGTTTTATTAATTATATTTAATTATTTTAGCAGTTTTATATCATCGTTTCTATTAATAAAAAAAAACAAAAATAGGCCTGACAAAGGTCAGTTTGGAGGAAATACGATGTAGAGAGGTGTAAAGCTATTCTGAAAGTATTTTAGATGCTGAATTGGTGACGAAAACTCACACGGTAGCGCGAAAATCTACAAGGGCAAAATTAACAGTCACTTCATTTAGTATCACCCTTCCCACCCGTACCTCCACCACGTCCCACAGGAGAGAACTTTTTGACCAACTTCAAAATGGCAATGGACAGGGGGACTTTAATATTCTTTATAGTGATGTTCATATTTCTCTCTCTACCGTCAGGGAATGAGGAACCTCGCTCAGATATCGAAAGAGAGACGTTAGCAACATTCCAATCACAGGCAAGCCAGGCTCTTAAACAGTTGAATAGTTCGGAATATCGTTTGGGATATGGGAATATCACAGGATACCAACTTTCATACGATGATTACCTCAACCACAAGTCCGTGGCTGATTGGCCTATCCACAAATTCAGTGAAAAGGATCCCTGGACTGAAGATCAAAAGTATTCCATATTACCAAACGAAGTTACTGATAAGGTGAAACAATTCTGGGGCAGGGATCAGGTGGAAAACAATAGTGGAAGAGCGTACATGTTGAATATTTCAGGTAGTGCACATGGTGAGTTTGTCCCCGCCAAATCTCAAGTGCAACCAGTAGTACAGAAGATACCCAAGTATTTGAGAAAGTATTATAAAGAAAGAACAAGCAATGAGGATATGGGGTTGGAAAACGCAGATACAGAAATTGACCAAAAAAAGGAAGACGCCGAATCACCTAAAATTGGAAACATAACTACACCCGGTTTGATTGCGGTTGGAATTAGAGCTTTCCAGTATAATTTCAATGAACCCAAGTTTCATGCCACCAACTCGAGCGACTACATCCACGATGCAGTTGTTGCAAAGGTCGATTTGAACTTGAAGGACTATTCAGAGGTCAACGATTACACGATTGAGATGGACGCCGTGTATTACCAAAGCACAGGTGCGTTGGTGGCCACATCGAATTCTGCCAAATTCTATGGATCGTACGGATTGAGTCATTTAACTATGAGTGAGGCCAATTTTGCCACAGCAAAGATATTAATGGGTCAATACAACAGTATGCGTGATGACACTACGTTGTCATTGGATGATATGAATGGATCGATTTTGAGGGCATTTGACCAATGTGAAATGGTTGCGTTTATGCAATTTAACAAAACTGACTTCAACCACGATGAATTGAGATATATTGATACCGAGTTGAAAAGTCCCAGTGGGAAACCATTACCACAAACTTTGCCAAAGTTGTCAATCAAAGAGTTTGTTTTGTACTCACCCAATTGCGGGATCGTTTTGACGAATAAACCGGGATCTTCTTTTAGTGGAGAACGGGTTGAAGTTTGGTATAAACAAGTAAGGCATGTATTGACTGGGCTTTTAGTCTTGGTCTCCATCCAGTTATATCTCATTTTCAACCAAGTGAATGCGGCGAGAACCCCTGGACAATTGTCTGTCATCTCAAGCACGACTTTGTACTTTTTTGGCTTTGAGGATTCGTTGTTGGCTATAATTACGTTGTTGTTGTCCACCATCGCCACTGATTTGTATTTGTTACTAGCGTGTGTCGCCACTATTGCATTTATCCTGTGTGGCGTGTTTGAAATGCGGTTTTTGGTCAGTGTATTGACCACACAAGCGAACGAACGTGGAACCACTTGGTGGGAAATAATGAGAGGCTCAAGAGAGGAGCCTGCGCCGCCCGAAAGTACTGCCTCACCGGTTGAGGAACCAGCGGAAGGTCCTCTTTTACCGGTAGCCAATACACCCACACAACCACCCACACAACCACAACCACAGACACCAGAGGAGCCCAATACTGCATGGCAAGAAACGTCTTACAGCAATTCTATATTTGCGTCCGGATTTACCTTGTCCATCATTGCCATGTTTCTCATATTTTCCTCCTTTGATTGGAGACGCAAATATAGAATCATATTTGAGTATGTTTGCTTGGTACTCATAAACTCGTACTGGGTGCCTCAATTTTTGAGAAATACACTCAAAAACAGGCGCAATGCATTCACATGGCAATTTATTATTGGAAGTAGTGTGATCAGAGTAGTTCCGATCTACTATTTTGCATTGTACAGAGAAAACCCATTGAGACACAGATATGATCCATATTTATGTCTGGTTGTTACCGGTTGGGTCTTACTACAATTAGTATTGTTGGTGCTACAATACAGATTAGGTGCTAGGTTTTGGATTAATGAGAAGTGGTTACCACAAGCCTATGATTATCACCGTATATTGAGTTTGAAGGACTTGGAAGAAGGTGGAATATCAAGTGATTTGCTAGCCAGCTTCAAACAAAAAACATCTGCTACCGAGTCAAACAACGATGGAAGCTCTAAAGAGTTTGTCGATTGTGAATGCACCTGTCCAATTTGTATGACAGATGTGACAGTTCCAATATTAGTCAAGGACGACAGTTCAAGCGAAGCAAAGAAAGCCAGACAAAATCATCATCATCATCATCACGCAGGAGCTGCACAGACGGAGTATATGATTACTCCCTGTCATCATATCTTCCATGCTGACTGTCTTGAGAGTTGGATGAAGTATAAATTGCAATGTCCTGTATGCAGAACTAGTTTGCCTCCAGTATAGGCTAAAGAAAGGAAATACTAAATATACCGGCTTTTATACCCGCCTACACATGTGCGCAGCATATCCTTGGCCCAAGAAGGGTGATTTAAAACAAGCGAAGAAAGGCACACCCTGCATATAGAAGCCGGGAGTAATANAGGCATCTATGTAGATATGCATCTCGTTTATAATTGAGATAGTTGTTTGCCATGTGAATTGTGCCTCTCACGACGGGTCTGTCATGTATGCGAAAGAAGAGGCGCCTACAATCCAACGCACAATCACTACGCCTGTGTTGCAACGATTTTTACCTGTGATAAAGACTAACACGTTGTAATTAAGTCTGTATACTCTAGTAAATAGATTCATCTCGACTTCGAGTGTCTGAAAGATGTCCGTGACCCTTCACAAGGAAGCCCGCAACACTATTTCTTCACCTTCGCGTATGATTACGGAAGTTAAGGCGATGGTTAATAAAGCATGGGGTGAATCCGGAGTCAGAACGATTACCCGTGATTATGTTTCACTTTTTCCACTTGAGCCAACGTTAACTCCGTAATCCCTGCGAAGCTGAGCCGCATCGACTGCCTTTTACGGCAACCGAATGCTGGAAAGGTTATGTAAAAAAAAAAGGCATAAGAATACTCATCTGTCTTACTTAAGAAATATTTACTGCAAGTCACACAAAGGTGGTCGAAAATCAGATGATTTTTCTTTTTCTTCTTTATGTTTTGTTATTCATTTTGCGTAATAAGCGCCAGAAAAGCAAAAAAAAAAAAGGATACTCCTGACTATAGACGTTCAAATGCATACAAAAGTTCAATCAATTCCTTTGCATTTTCAAATGTAATAACAGAGCGAAATATTCTTTGCAAAAGCAATTGTCAAAACCTATATCATAGTGTCTTTTCCCACTTCATATTTTCTTTACTGACGTTGGTCTGGAAAATTGCAATCGCCGACGCTTATCAATCTTGTTAAAGACTAAAATCTGCCATAACCAGTCACAATATACAGTAGGCTTACTCAAACCATGTCACAAATAGACTCCAACTTTGGAGGTCCTGGAGGGCCAAATAGTGACAACAATAAGGTCTTTGACCAAAACAACGAGATAGACTACATCGACGACGCAGGGAATAACATTTTGGGCGATGTTTATGGACATGGTCTCGAAATGGGTGCACAATCTGCGTTCAATTTCAATGAAACTGACGACTTTCTCAAATCCATTTCAGGAGTCTTGGGAAAACAATCAGATGTGGCAAACACCCACTTCAACAATGCCAACTACAACAGCTCAACTCTATCACCATCATCGATCTATGGAGAAGAGGTGGGATTTCCAGAATACTTGGCAGCCTATTCTGAACAGCCACAGAGTACATTCCAGGATAATCAACTCGAACAACCTACTTATGGCACCAAAATAAGATCAAATTCGTCATCAATTGCCACATACAATGGCGAGATTATATCCCCATTGTCCAACCCCACTGTCGAAACATCTGACTACACTTCCCCGGAGTCTGTTCAAAACCAAACAGTTGAGAAACCACCAGCAAAACAAACAAGGAAAGGGTCTACTTCCAAAGTGACAAAACCAAAGAATCCAAAGAACCTCAAGGACAAAAATTCCCACAACATGATTGAGAAAAAGTACAGGACCAACATCAACTCAAAGATTTTGATTTTGAGAGATGCTGTCCCTGCCTTGAGAATTGCCGCTGGTGCTGATGATGTCTCGGTGGCCGACTTGGAGGGAATCACCCCAGCATCAAAGTTGAACAAGGCCAGTATCTTGACCAAAGCTACCGAATACATTAGACATTTGGAGCAAAAGAATGCTGTATTGAAGGATCAAAATGATTATTTGCAAGAGGTTATTCGGGATGCTAACTTGAGTCCACAAATACGGATGCCTTTAGGTCAACGTCAGTTGCTGAGCTCACCTGTCAATGACAGTCAGCAGATATACGGAGATATGAGTCCAAATAATCTGCAAAGTCATGGTGGACCATCTTACCTACAAGGCCAACAGGCGTTTCAACCACAAGCGCAACAAATATCTTCACAGCTTCCATCACCACCAACCTTTCAGCTGCAGCAACAACAACATCAACAACATCATCAACAACAACAACATCAAAATTCAAACGGGCCTAATAGGTACTTGTTAGGAGGAATGGCAACTGTTATGGCCACGTCCTTATTTGGAGGCTCTGGTGAGAATGATTTCAGAAGTTTAAGTGCGTTGCCATTTGCTTCTTACTTGTTTCCGCACGCTTTTTTGAGCCCTTCACCGGCTATGATCCAATTATGGACATTGACGAAATTGTTGTTGGTTTTAGGAAGTTTGTTTTCTGTATTTTATCCATTGGCTCAAAGTGTTGCCAGGTCGAAGCACAAGCAGTTGAAGCTGACATCCGAGTCTAGCACATTGATTGATTGTCTTTTTGTTGCATTGTACATGAAGGTGCCTAAGAAGTTATCTGAGCAACGTCGTGATGGAATCATAGCAAACTTGAGAGGAGGCAACAACTGGAAGCAATTAATCTGGGATTATGTTGAGTTGTCTTCATGCGAAACCAATTTTGAGAATACATTTTTGATGTTGTTGATTGGAACGTTGTTGAAAGGCAAGTTTGAAAAATTTTCACTGGTTTTCGATCATTTCTTGAGTATGAAAGGTGGATTGATTGTAAATCTTGATTATCGTGGAAGCAACAAATCCTTGATCAGGTTGAGCCAGTTGATTGGAAAAGTTGATGGGCTTTCCATGTTTACTAGTGAAACTTTGATGAAGAGATTGAATAATGTTGCAACTGGTCAAATTGTCAATACTGGCGCTGAAGATGGACAAGATGCCAAGTACGTCGAAGCTTATCAACATACAATTGGTGATTATTATGGTTTGGTTACTCAGTGGAGAATCATTGACATTGTCCATGGCTTGAATTTGTCCTACTTGGAGAATATCGACGAGGATACTACTCAAGTTCTCACTGATTTGAAAATCGTAGGATCAATTATTGATAAGGAGTCGCCAATTTGGCCCCAGTTCCAATTATTTATGACCATTGTTGACCCAAATCAAACTTTGACACTAGTTCACGAGTTGAAAAATAGAGTAGAATCCAAAGTGAGCAAATTCAGATCAGACTGCAAAGAGTTGGAGAATGATTCAGAGGATGAGGATGAGTACTCCTCATCAGATCTTGACTTTGAATCCGTTGTCAAGAGCTTAAATCTTGTTTCACAAGAAGAGTTGGTAGTTTTATTGTCTTCGTTGGTTACATACTATCACAATCTAGACGACGACGACAAGGAGGCTGAAGTCATGAGACATTTAAGGATCCCCAATAAGAAATTCAGTTTATTGACATTCACTGCATTGGTCAATATGCTTACCGTAATAATACCGGGCCCAGTGGATGATTTTGAGGGTACGTCAGATGTGTTGATTCTGGTCCGCAACTGGCTAAAAGACGGCCACTTGCAAAGGAATATGTTGGACTCACAGTATGTTGATCTTGGTGATAAGTTGGCTGACTTGTTACTCAAGAAAGGAAAGATAATAAATGGAATAGTTATCGAGGAAGCTGAAGAAGAGTAAATGAGGATACAAGTGTTTGGTTGAGAGAATTTAGTTTGAATTTTCAGTGAAATTTATAGTGTATAATTTAGTTTTCATGTTGTTATTATTTTTTTTTTGCGGATACTATACAGACTAGCTTCGTTAATAATTACCTGGAAATGGGTTAACGAAGATGAGTAGTTGGACTGCCTTTGCTGTGCGACTTGTATGAGGACATTTTGGGACAACCATGCCCACAGAGAAGAGAAAAGAAGCCACCATAAAGAAGCATCGTTAAAAGCAATTGTAGCATGTTGGAAGATTTTCGAACACAACAAAATATGTATACACCGTTAGAGCTCCTAGCAAGTCTTCCCAAGGACAAGATGTTCCGTGCAGGTTCCGTGCGGCAGAGAAAAATTTAAAGCCGAGGAAAACCTCGAGAAGGACGAGGTGGGGGAGACACTTTTGCATTATAATAAAATCCCTATAGTTACCTCGGTATTAATCAATTTAGCGGTGGTGGCATGGTTGGAGTTATTATTCGTGCCGTACGAAAAAAGACAGACTAATTGTGTTTGTTTGCTCTTGTGATCTAAATCTGGTGTAAGGGCAAACACAATACTGGTAATTTCTTATCCCAAAATCTCTATTGTTTATGGAACTCACTGTGGACAAATTAAACCGCTAGAATATACAATTCGTCAGCCTTTTCAAGACATGCGTCGCCGTTATCCTGTTTCCGTGGTTGATCCTGGCGACCCGGAAGAAAAGCTCATTAGCAGATTTTGTGTAAAATTGAACTGAAATGTTTGCAATTTCAGACTAGAACAATGTTCTTGCTTTGGATCATATGCGTTTGTATTATCACAAAAAATTGACATTCAAAGAGTGCTTTCGGTTTAGTTCGAAATGAAGAGTGACAAAAACGCTGGAATTCGTAATTTCATGCAAAGAAAAAGGCTAAAATATTGGATCTTTAGTGTCAGATCTTTGAAGACGTAAACTCTTTGTAAACTTTGAGTAGACCTTACTTCCTTAACACCGATACAGCACAGACACTTTTCTACATTAGGTGGCGCTGCTTCATGAACCATTTTGAGTGACTTAGAGCTGTCAATTATAGTAGCTTCTGCCCCTCCCACGTGTGTGTTTTCTTTGTTTCCAAAATCAAACCCCTGGAGTTCTGAAGAACAACAGTCGTTTCCAGCGGGTATCAGTAAACAGAAGAATATTCTAGTTGATTCGGAATTCTGTTGCTTCCTGACTTGATCTAAACCTATGTATACGTTTTTGTAACCCGCGGTGGCGAAACTGCATTGAAATGAAACTAAATATACATAATGCAAAGGTCATACTATTGTTGGAAGTTCATACAAATTCTGAATGATAATTCGTCTTCAATAGTAGGAAAAGGAGCAATTATACACACTAAAATGTGCTAAAATAAAACACTTTATCACCATATATGCCGCATGTGGCGATCTATGAATCACAGCCTCGGTTATAGTTTCCCTCAAAGCCCTCTTCAAGTAGTTTAGCTTTTGTGAAGAAGATTTGATTGGGATTTTTTTTTTTTTTGGTCTTTTTTTTTTTTTGAGTAGAGTGCAAACTTTAATTTGGCGCTAAAGAAGAAACTATTATGAATTGAGACTGTACTATGCAACGTAGCTCTTGAGCATTCACGTACGAACCCAGATGGCAATAATTTGAGAAATCAAAAGAAATAAAAAAAACTGTGGCGTTCAACTGAAACGATGACGTTGAGGACATTACAATGCAGCGAGAATTGCACCCATTTGTGTCAGTACGACAACAGCAATTGGGAGAAACAAGCAGTGAGCCAAAAATAAAGGAAAAAAACAAAAAAACAAAAAAACAAACAAAAAACACAAGGACCAAGGACCATTTCAGCAATAGCCGGATGCCGAATATCGGAAGCATCTCGATTTAAATAGCATCACTTTTGTGAGACATAGAAGGTAAAAACAAAGTTAAAAAATGTATCGCAAAATGTCGGTTTTCTCAGACGGGGGAAACTCGGGTTTGGAAGGCTGTGGCAATTAGGTGGCTTTGAGGTGCCAAAAGGTTTCAACCCGAGCTCACACCAACAATTCAAGAGTATGGGCCATGGGAGCTGGGGTCTGGGTCGTCCAAAAGAAATGCATCAGATGTGGAGGTGTTTAGCAGCAACTTTGTTTCCTGCTATTTCTCCACATTTTCTCAAAAAAATTTATAATTGTACGATACTAAAACATACCACTATACAAAAACTGTTCTAAACAAACTGCACGTCAGGACCTTTTTCTATTGTGCGTTAACCCATACTGGATATCTGTCGCTGAGGTTTCTATACAGCTTTCCAAGAAATCTCCACCCCAACACGTCATTCATAAACTAAATGGTGACGTCGTTCAGTAATACGCAAGCAAGGCGGGTTAATTCTTGTTCTCCTCCTCTATTCCCACTTTGTGCAATTTCAACTCTGGTATAACATAAATTGCATTTGTTCTCTTTATTGAGCCCATTAAAGTTACAAAATTAGATTGAGGATTTATTGTGTAGATTGATAGTTTTGCAAATGACAAAAAAAAAAAAAAAAGGTGGTTACTAAAAATACGGGTACTCTAACCGTACTGTAAAACGTAGGTTACTAAATGACATACTTGTTAGACATCTTCTGAATTGCAGAAATAATAGGTTGAGTGACTTCATGTAGTCGGCCATTCTAGTTTTACAACCGTCACCGTTTTCAAAATAACTAGCCAAACAAACTCTACGTATCCTAATCAACCAGCTTGACTCACTCCCCAACCACCTCAAACGTAAAAGAGTCGTTTGCATGAGATCCAATCAGCCGTGATACACTTTAGCTAGTGCTATGAATTAGATGCACAATAACACGCAGCATCCGGGTAACAATTCCCAATTGGGTTAAAAAGTCCACCAACACTGTTTTTTTCTCATAGACCTAAGATGGGCAAAGTCTTGGCCGATCTGATCTACATGTAACATGTAAAAAATGAGCAGTTTTCTCTGTTGCATCCGACAGTTGCTATCCTGTCCGTATTTCCAGACCATCAATGGAACCCCTCCCTCCCCCTTGTAGCGTGTTCTGCTCTTGCATCCAAATTTTAACCTTTTCTCCCAAAAGAACTTGCTCAAGAAAAAAAAACAAATACACAACTTTGCAACACAAATCTGCAATGGATCTGTATTTTGCGAGAGAGAGGCTACACATTTTTGTCACTTCAAGAAGGCTACAGCTTACAGTACGCACAGTGTGTCAAATGACCTGATTCAATCCTACTTCAATCCTCTATACAGCAAGACCAACAAGGATTGATGGAGGAGAAGAAATGGACATACTTCACTCTGTAAACTGTCCTAGTGCGTTGCAAGAAATTGAAATAGCGTCACAAGATTCCACGTTAATCAAATCAGATACCAAGAGGCTTGACCAGTTAATAATAACCACGTTCTAAACTACACACTCTAGGTATCACGACAACTGAAAAGGAAAAGAAGGGACCAAATACACAGCGCAGACTTTGTACGCCAAATTACAGATTGCATAAGAGGACGTTTTTAAGAAACAGACCATTCAAAGATCCCACATCGAATGCATATTAGGATATCGCATTGTTTTACTCAAACACTCCCCCCCCTCTCCCACCTACCTTCTTTTTCAGGCAGTTACTATTACCCTAGTTGCATATGGTGGTGATGAAATGAAATTGTAACTGGTGATTTGCCATGGTCATGTGTCGTGCGTGTCGTCATCCGAAAAATTTTCATAAACAGAAAAGACAAAAATAAAAAAAAAAATTCTATTGTTCTCAAAGAAGCAAGGATTTTTAGTCATTTATCGCCAAATTTACACGAACTTAACACAATTCTCACACAACAGCAGAATTTTAGCTGTCCATATGTACTGTGTGATTATAATAGAATTATGCATGATGGTACCCGGATACACAAAAGCCTACTACCAATAGAAACACCACAAGAAAGACATAATTCATCTACAGTGGGATCACAAAACCGCATTTACTTTGCTTAAGCTTTTTTCCATTCCTTCATAATCAACACAAAGCCATATCGAGTAACAGTTTGGGAAGAGAAATAAAAAAAAAAAGGCAACAAAACAAAATGTATGCCACAATATCTGGCCTCACTAAAGACAAAGATACGAGATGAATGTTTTACAGGAGAGTTAAGTAAAGTAGAAGCATTAAAGAGAAGGTCAAAGCAAGGTAGAAGCATGAACCAGGAGGTCAAAGCAAGGGAGCTGGGTGTTATACCCCGACAAAAAACCTGGACTTATTCATACACCGCCAATCCACTCAAACACACACACACACACACACACGTACACTTAACCACAAAAGTGGAAATTTCGAGTGTTGCTCTTTGGGGTTTCTTCTGTGGTCTAAATTTTTTTACTTTTCAATATTTGTCAGTTTTGTTCATCAAATTTTCTTCTTCACTTGTGATGCTTTTTTCTTATTTTTTTTTTTTTTCCTTTCGCTCGCTATTGTTTTTGTTGTCATAATAATATAGAAAATATTATTATTTTTTTATTTTTTTTTCAAGTCGCAGATTTGTTTTAACATGTATGGAAAAACATTTAAAGCCTAGTACATCTGGTCAATTTTTTTTAAAAAAATGCAAAATCAGAGCAATTTGCTATACCTACTAGAAGAAACCGGTTATAAGAAGAGAAACAAGATCAACGTGAGACCATGATATCAGATTCAGATGAATCACCAACCACAGATGATCATGAGTACACGATAGACGACTACTACAAACTCGTTAAGCCCTTGTGGTCGCACAAGAACGTCAATTTTGACCCAAAAATCGACCACCACAAAGTCTTTCGCAGCTTAGTCGACTTGAGTCTAACACGGACCATGCTACTATCGGATCTACAAAAGACAAGCATAGCCATAGGAGACTTGTCAGTGAGGAAAATGAGAAACGTTGATAATATTGTCGTGCGAATAGGTGATGATAGTTTGGATTCCGACTCGTTCTCGAAAAGTCAAGCCAAAGAAAGTGATGTTAGGAGTCATGAGTCTTCCTCAGTTCTAGCTAGCAGTGGTACATTGTACAGTTCATGCGTGAGGTCAAGGTACGTCGAGTTTTGTCCTTGTTCAGCAATCAGTGCCTATTTATTCAGTCGATTTCATATACCCAACCACGAAGGCCAGTTGGAGTTACAGTTAGAGGACCCGGAGGATACAACTTCAATACTTAAGGTCAAACTTCTTAGAGGACGTAATAGCGTCGTACCAATGTCATCGTCTCAACAAGCAAAGACGATTGGTAAAGTTTTGAAAATTGCCGGCTTCAATCGAAGTGATACCAACTTGAGGAGATTATTGTTAGCCCACGCTTTTGAGCTACCAGCAAGGTTGTCTGCCCAAATGATTGAGGATTTACCGTTTGATACCGTGGTGCAGGTGGCTGGCTTTGATACTGAAAAGGATTATTCCATCTTACGAAGTGCCTGCAACCCCCCACAGAATTTGCTAGATAAAATTTTCCCATTTATCAACGAGGCAGGAGGAGAGAAGGGAAGTAAACCACGGAAGGGTAGTGAGGTGGGTGGTAGTGAAAACTGCACTTTGGCAAGTCAAGAAACTATTGATGTCAAGCAAAAACAAGTTAGAGAATTACTCAAAATGTTGAGAGAAAGTTTGTGTCAAGATATGATTATTATCAAAAAAAGGTACCCCCATAACCCGCTTCTGAAATGTGAAATATTCAACTCTCCTGAATTTGAAGCATTTGTAAAAAAAGTTGAGAAGAATGGAGACTATGATCGTTTGATGAGAGAGTCGTGCTTCAATCCTCAGGACGATGAGACAGAGAGTGATTCTGACGACCCGTGGCCGTCGTCGATTGATTTTGACTCCAAGGAGGACATGCAAAGACTAATGGAGTTTCAAAACAGTAAACTTAAGAGAATGGAAAAGGACATTGAAAACGGTCTACAGCAACAGCTTCAAGTGTCCAACCACTTGTACAATTTTATTGAAAAACAGACGGAGGCCATGAACAAACAAAGTGATTTTTTACGCAACATTCAGAACTCAATTAACGGCTTAATCATCCTAGGGTCATCAAAGAATAAGAACAATGAGTACTTGGCCCAACAGAGCTTGCAAGATACAGCACGCTACATTAATAGTGGTGAAAATGAGCATATAAGAGCTGGAATTGACAACACTTTAGGCTTGCTATCACGTTTAAGGTCCCAAGATCAACACCACAGGGAGAGGGAGAGGGAGAGGGAGAGGGAGGGTGGTACTACTTCGACTGCATCGCCATCCCAATCTGCCTTGCTGCATACCAAGACTTATCCTTCTGTATATAGTCCACCTGCTCCCACATTTTATCAACCTCAACAACCTCAACAAGTTTATGTTGCACCTACAACTTCCACACACCGACCTTCGGAAGCATCTATTTCATCCAGGTCGTCCATGGTATCGAGCAGCAGTCCCCAATTTCAGCCACCCCTGTCGCAACTACAACCCCAGCAGCCACCACCACAAAAACAACATCACCTTCACAATCTCCATCACCATCAGCAAAATGTGCCTAGGCTGTCCTTGTCACATACATCCTTTAGTCATAACACTTCACCTGCTCAATTTCCTCACCAACAGCAGCCTCCTCAAGAACCATTTCCAAGCTCATCCTCCTCTTTGTTGACGCAATTTGCACAACCCGTCAAAACGCCAAGAGAATCGACTTTGGAGAAACGATTATCGCGTCAAGCCAGTACCTTGTATGAGATGTGGGATGATTTCAAGAATTTGGAAAAAGAGTTAGCACAGCATAATATATCAGTCACGGAGTGGCTAAAGGTTCATGGTTCATCCGAACGTCAGTTCCGTCACACGAGGTTGAAGATTATCAAGTTTGTTGAAGAGGAGGCCAGGAGGCGTAATGTCACCGTTGGGGTTGTTAAGGAGATGTTACATAATAAAATGAGGAATCGGTTACGGCCGTGGACATTGGATGAAGTTCAAAGAATGTTGACTTCAGGAAGAAGGATCGATTTGGATGATCCTAGATTGTGATAAAAAAAAAAAGAAAGAAATTAAAAAAAAAAGTACTCCAAAACTAGAAAATCTTTGCCATATTTTGCATTTTATGAATTGATTTAAAAGCTTCCAAATGGTTGTTAAAGCTATGTATTTATTTTGAACGAAGTAATGTCCAAAAAAAAAAAAAAAAAAGAAGCAAAATGCCTTGTTACATCCGCACTATGTTAAAACTTATTTTTTGGGTGTTGCACTGGCATGCATAGAAAATTAGCCTATTTGGGTATAAAGTTGTCCTAAACAATAGGACGAAGATCGTAGCAAAGTAGCGATATGCAGAGAGTGTTAAAGCCTGCATGAAAAAGTCCAAAAGGTATGCTACCACTACTCCTATTGTTTTTCATCTGCTTCTTCATAGCTGTATATAATGAGAACCAAAATACACACAAACCTACAACAATAGAGACAGACAATCTACAGCAGCAAAATAGAATTTTAGATATTGGTGTGCATAATTGGATTTTGTAACACCGTATGCGCAGGGGTGTAAAGATGACTCTAAGAGAGTTATGGTGAGAGTTTGACTGACTGTGGCATTGGTTTCTACTGGGATCTGCTGATTACATCATTGATGATGGATCATCTGATTGGTCTACACGCCTCGTTGAGTCACACAGAGCCCAGAATTTTGTGTTTGGCTGCGAAAATCAAATGTCAGAAAAAAAAAAAAAAAAAAAAAAAAAAAAAAGTGTTTGCAACAGAGCTTAACGGGGAAAAGTTTCCAATTTGCGAATGTTTTGCNAAAAAAAAAAAAAAAAAAAAAAAAAAAAAAAAAAAAAAAAAAAAAAAGAAAACAAAGTGTCTGCAACAGAGCTTAACGGGGAAAAGTTTCCAATTTGCGAATGTTTTGCCTGCACACATGGACTTGTAAGTAGTGAATTTGCTTGGTACAGAGTAAAATTACACGTAAGCCATGCTACTTCTCCTAGCTACTCCAAAAAAAGAAAAAAAGAACTTGGAAATTAGACAAAATTTGACATGGTGTTGCATGACATTGATGACATGAAATAAAAAAAAAAAAAAAAATTAAAGAAAATAAATTCGTTTTCAAACTGTATTGTTTTTATTTTATACTCTATCAAACGTTTGCAACTAATTTCCTTATTCTTTTGTGCAGGAACAGAAATGAATACATATATTTTTTTTTTCTTTTTTTTTTTTTTTAGCTCTCTAATCTTTGTTGTCATGGCAACCATAGAATCTTACACAAAAGTCTTTACTTAGCTCAACTTGTGCTTGAGTACACTACCTTTGAGTATACAATAATGTGGGTGTGCACAAGTGCTGCTGGTCGACACACTCTCTCGCCTCTCTCGCTACACAGAGAAAGTGAACAAGGTCTCTTTTTCTTTTGTTTTCGCAACAGCTTTAGCTTGGGTATTGCGTGTATTTCATCTTGTTTTGATAACGAGCGAGTTGAGGACACTGTTTCTATACGATGGATACGACGATGAAAGCTACCATCTACCCTGTGATTCCTCTTCTCTAATTCTTATCAAACTTAACACACAGCCTTCACTAATGTCTTTCAGCTTTGCCACCATCAATTCAAAAAGAGACAGAGAGAGAGAACGAAACCTTTTCGAGTACAATTTTGTACTCACGTCAGAAAGATAGAGTGAACTCCTTGATACTGTGCAGACACAACAGTATTCCAAAAGAAACAAACGGAAGTCCCTTCGGCGACAAGATTAACCGAAGTGGTCACACAAGTGCGTTACTTGCTACTAACCGCTGCATGGCGGTTAGGTTGGAATATTATGGCAACAGAACCGTATGCAAAATGTTATGTACATCTCTGCATAAAACATAAAAATACGAAAAAAAAAAAAGAAAAAAGGAAAAAGGTTATGAACTTATGCTTCCAAGAGGTAAAACCTATGTTCTATAAACTTGGGTAAATACTTAATCTTTTATTTCTCTGCATGAGCCTACACAATCTACTAACCACATGACAATTGCATTTACAAGTTGTTCCATATCAATCATCAGCCCACCATACATTCTACCCCAAGACAAGTTACTTCTATTACCTATACATCTATAGACTTAAAGTCAAACGGTTCATAAGCATAACCCTCCCCTTCAAAAAACTTGGACATAGCCTCTACCCAGTGTAACCTTAATGAATGCAACATGGCGGAAGTCCCCTCCATCAAAACCAAGATGCATACCGTCAACAGAAACCACATGGCGAAAAGAACCACAGTGGCAATAACTCCAACAGCACCAGTCTTTCCAAATGCATTTTGTATGGTCATCGACCATAACACCGTCGATAATTGAGCGTGGGCTAACGATAGAGCCCACAATCTCAAGTACGACGCCGTATGACTGACACAATTCAAACAAAATTCAATAGTATGAATCACTTGATGAATAACGATATCACCAAAGTTGAATTCTCCATGATCGTCGCCGTGTGCTGCTGCAGAGTGAAACATTGGCTCAATATCGTTGGGAAATCTAAACTCATCATCGGTTTCTGGCTCATCATCGTCATCGTCAATATGTTCATTGTTTATCTCATGCTCCAATTCCAAAGCTGCTTCTTCTTCATGCAACATGATGGAATGATTCCTTTGCGAATGTAAATCAGTGTAACCCAATCTTATTGCCTTATCATTCTGTCTCTTCAACGTCAATGGTTTATAAATCAACAACCAAGGCACGCAAATAAGCGCAAGAAGAACCAATACCACTTGAATAAACTTTTGACCAGGATACAACTGTTCTTCAACTGTTCCTGGTGACAAAAACATATTGATCAACATATTCAAGAGCCCTGGTGGTTGTCTTCCAGAACCCAACCAATCAACCGACCATTTGTACACAATAGTTAACGCCAAGTATCCAAATATACTAGTCATGAAAAGAAAGCCTGGAATAAAGTTCCCAATAATGTCAACCTTTCTCTTGAAGTACAAGTAGTTGACCAAGCTAAACATCAACGAATAGTTCATATGAACATACCCCATCAAAACCGACAACTTCATCTTGTAAGAGTTTGTAAACAAAAGATTGTTTTCTGTGCCGTGCCATGCCCAGTCAAGACCGATTGGATATGTTTTGCCCTCAATTTTTGTAGCAGTTAAAGTGCCACCCTTTTGCCGATCGTAATTATCAGGAAACACATACTCCCAGCCAGAGCTAAATATGGCCATTGATTTGGAGAAGATATCGTTGTAAATGAAACCAGTATACATGGAAAAGATTCCCATCAACAAGATTATGTATCTCCCATTGAATGCCATCTCAAAAATTTCATCTTTATTGCGCATTGCACCAAATGAAACTTCATTGATGATCAAGTACAATGCCATCAAGAGAACAATAAACCCATGCCCTAAATCACCAAACATAATGGCAAACATGAATGGAAATGTTATGATTGTTGCCAAACCAGGATTGACTTCCTCATAGGTGGCAATTCCATAAGCATCGATAATCAGCTGAAATGCACCTGTAAACTTGTTCGTTTTGTGATACGTCGGAGGGGTCCTATTGGTGGTAAGCTTATTCACCACGGCAATCAATGATCCCGCCTCCTCGCTTCCTTCGTCAAAATCTATACCCGATATGTCATGGTCACTATCATCAATAACAAATGTATCAGTTTCTGTATCAACGGATATATCTAGGGAGTCATTGAGATGATTAGTAGTAGCAGACCCACGATCGCGCCTTGTCTTGTCTTTGACCAACTTTCTCAACGCTCCTCGTATTTTTTCAAAATCAGCAGAAGGAATCCATCCTTCTCCAACCAAACACCGTCTGGTACTATCCTCGTCAAATTTGTTCAAAGTTTCGTAAACCAACTTTTCTCGCTGAACAACGTAGTAATAGTCAGGGTAGAGTTCTTGGAAAACCTTCAATTCTGTAATTAACTGGTCTTTAGTGCTGTCAACCACGTTTGTCAATTCTTCAATCCTACCATTAACCTCGTCCAAGGTTGCTCTTCGCGATTCCGAGTTACCTGAAGCATTATCGAATATAATACCGTCCAATGACTGTATGATCTTGCGCACTCTCGACCGCAACACATCACCGTGGATAAACATGATAAAGACGTTTTTGAATACTCTCTCAGTGGATTTGTCATTTACTGGAAGTTCTTCCTCTATGGGTATGTCATGAAAGTACATATTTCCCCGCAAAAGTCTCCATAAAATATTTCTCAAAACTGGCACCCTGTCTCTAACAATTGTTCCCGCTATTGAATTGAAACTTGATTCTTCCCAGCTATGAACTTCCATTCCCAATTCCAAACTATTATTCTGACGTGTGCTTAAAAGTGCTATTTCGCTATCGAGTTCAGTGTCATCATCATGATCGTGATCATGAGCATTGTCCACCAATGTCGACGAGTGAAATTTATTTAGTATGGTAATGACATATCTGTTTTCAATAAACTTGAGTTTCTGGCTGTCCAAGTTTGCATAAGAGTGATTTAAATGTTTGATTCTGTCGTGGTAATCATTTAACTTCATTTTGAACTGGTCCATGTCCGAAGTCGATGGCATGGGTCTCATATCTGCTCTTAAATTTACATGCAAGTCTCCTGAAACTGTACCTAAACTGTCCATAGTTGTCCGAAGAAAAGCCAATTGACTGATCATTGCATCAATAGATTTCAATTCATTGATGAATGTGCGTTGAAATGGCGTTAGTTTGGAGTTCAAGTCCCTGAATTGGACCGCCCCCAAGTTTCCCAACATCCCCACCATTTCCCGTGCCAATTCTATGGTGACATAAAACTGCACCAACGTCATTGGCGCTGATCGGAATATTGCTTCATTGGACTCGTTTGTAGTCGATCGTGATTCTGTTAGTCTTATGGGCGCCATGGCTTATCAACAACAGGGGAGGAGGATGGGGAAGGGGAGTGGGCAGATTTTGTCTGAATTTTTCTGGTCTTTTGGTCGCGGGAATTGGATTACGTATCACGATCTCTCTCTCTCTCTCTTTTTTTCTCTTTTTCTCTGACCACGGCCACACAGTTTTGTTGCTAAATACATTGCTTGACTTGTCTTGTCTTGTCTTGTCTTGACATAGGTAACTCGTCTTACGCCCGAATACACCACTGCACTTCTTTGCATTGGCCACTACAATTGATCACTAACCACCTCCCCGTAGTACTGTGACGTGCCGATTCCAATCATGCAAAGAACTTCACTACTTCGGTCTTTGTTTCTTTACCTTTGTCTCTTTAAAGACACAGTAGCCGATGCACCTCCAAACGTTAACGAATACGAAAGCGCTGTATCACATCTACGCCAGATTGAAGCAGAGTATCAAAGAAAACGCATATACACTGCAGACAACATTGAAAATAATTTGATAATACCACCGTATGACCCAATAAAGCGGCAGTACAATCTAAAAAAATACAGATCTCACAATCCACCCTCAACACCACCACCACCACCACAACAGCTAACGGAGACAGTTCTCCCGTTACTAGAAATTTCCGCTTCGAAAAACAATCCAAAAGCATTGATAACATTAGGAGACTTGTATCTATTCGGGAATTACTCCTTGCCCACTGACTACCACAAAGCGAAAAACTATTACGAGAAAGCCTTGGAAGTTTGGCCAGATGCCCATGCCTATTTCATGTTAGGCTTCATTCACTCAACAGGGCTTTTTGGCGAGTTCCCTGTTGATCAAAAACGCGCCAACTTGTACTACCAAGTGGCCGCGGAGAATGGAGATATAAATGCATTGCAAGTTGTGGCTTATCGGAACTTGAAAGGAATAGGCGTACCTTCGAATTGCGAATTGGCGTTACCGTATCTATCAAGGTTACTGATGATGGGATTTGACCGAGGAAGAACCCCTATTGCTGATATCGACTATAATATTAGAGTTTCTGATTTCAATGGTGGATTGTATGGAGAAAAATTGAGTGAAACGGTGTCGTCCATTGACATTCCATCACGGAAATATGCAGATATCAGAACTCAAATTGAAGAGCAAAAATTGAATGCGAATGATCATGAATATGCAACTTTTTATTACAATGGACTCGAGCATTTAAGGGGTGATTACTTTACGGAAAGGGACTTTGCTCAAGCTTTCCGAGAATTTCAAAAATGCGTAGCTATAGGTGAGGAGTACTATGGATCAAGAGACTACCTGAATGTTGACAGACTCGATCGAGTGTTTTTGAGCCTTTGCCAGGTGAATCTAGGTCGCATGTATTTGGAGGGCTTGTATGTTGAAAAAGACGCATCGAAAGCACAGCAAATTTTACAAACTTCTTTGAAAGTAAAAGCCTCATCAGAGGCTCTTAACCAGCTTGGTATTATTGAAGAGCAAGGACTCGTGGGCGAAGCGAATCGAACAAAAGCAATGGAGTACTATACTTTGGCGTCTAAGCAGAAACGGGGCGCAGGCTCCAAGAACTTGGCAAAGCTGTTGATGGAAACAGTTGGCACAGGCTCTATTGAGTCTAATGAGAATAGGGATTTGATTTATAAGCACATGCAACAGGCAGCTTATTATGGTAGCACGGAGGCGTTGTATTATGTTGGAAATTTTCTCGAATCAGGCTTGGCGCACTTGGTAGAACCTGAAGAGCGAGTAACTTGCGCAAAGATTGCCTTATATTACCGGGAATTCATGAAAAGATTAACCTCATTTTACGCACCACACTTGAAATATGCATTTGATGAGCTTGCAAGTGGGAACTTTGGCAATGCTCTAGTTGGGTACCTGATTGCAGCCGAGCAGGGTTATGAACAAGCACAAGTCTCTGCGGCACATTTGCTATATCAAGTGCAACCTTTGTACACAAGGCAAGAGACAAAGACATTCACCCACGACAGATTGAACTTGGCTATACAATATCTCGATCGAGCCTCGAAGCAGGGGAACGTAGATGCAACGATTCTTCTAGGAGATATATACAAGGGACAAGACGGGCATGCACAAATTGAACCAGATTATGAGCGAGCGTTCAATTACTATAGAATCGCAGCAGACAAACATTCTTCGCACGGAGCTTTCAAGTTGGCTGAGATGTACGAGTATGGGTTAGGTTCAGAGAATCATTCTGTTGACTACTTTTTGGCAAAAAGATACTACGACCAAAGTTTGCAATACAAGGAAAAGTCTGATTTAGAGCGACAAACACAACAATTGAAGCCCACATATAGCAGTGCTCATATAAACTGGGCCCTTTTACGTTTGAGATTTAAACATCTTTTCAACAGAAATAGTGCCAATTATCGAATGGATGAACACTCAAGTGGTTGGTTCAGCGCTTTGAAATCGTTGGGCAAGAAAACCACTGGCGAGCAGAAAAGTGCTCAACAAATGGAATCCCTATCCAAGGCAGACGCACATCATTACGGTACATCTTACGACACAGAGTTTGTGGAGAATTATGATGTCGGCGACTATTTGGTTATTACTTTGACATTCATATTCTTTCTTGTTTTTTTCATCCAAAATATAATTCGACAAGTGAGACGCATGAGGAATGGGAATCAGGAGAGACGCGAGCCCGAGCCCGAGCAACAAGCGCAAGACAGAGCTGAATGGAACGGAAATCAATTCCATTTCAGACGAGGTAATTTCGAGTTTCACTTTTTCGCAATATAGAATTAAGGTCTATTTAGTAATATCATCAATAACATTCTTGAGAATAGCATTGCTCTTGCCCACACATGCCCTTTGCGATCTTCTCTTTATTGGAGAGTTACTTGCTGATGGTGGCAAATCATAAATCTTGTCTGCATCGCAAGGGAGGGAGTAATACCAACCTTTCAGCTCTAAGAAGTCAATAAAGGTTTTTGTAGTGACATTCGTAGATAAGGTGGACCTTGATCCAAAAATAATCAATTTTGACTTGGCCCTAGTCACTGCCACGTTTAAACGTCGCCACTCTTTCAAAAGATCACCAGCATTTTTCTCCTTATTGGACCGCACCAAAGAAATGATCACACATTGCTTGTCTCTGCCTTGGTACTGGTCTGCAGTTAGTATTTCCAACTCTGTTCTTGAAGACAAGTTTCTCTTTAAGAGTTCAAGCTGAGAGCGGTAAAAGGACATCACACCCACTTGAGACTCATCCACACCTGCAGTAACAAACGCTTTGACAATTTGCTGTATCAAAGTCGCTTCCCTTGAATTTCGCACTGCTTCTCCAAAAACTGTTTCATATGCGGGAACAGTATCATGATCAAAAAATAGTACTTTCCGGCGCTTGTCAAAGACAAGATCCATCCATTGTGATTCTTTTGGAGTTTCCGGCGAAATTAGACTTGTAACCGCCTCGGGATGTTGAATGTCCATGTACTGGTTAGCAACTGTTTCTGATCCGCACCTCAACTTGTTCTCATACACCAAAATGTTGGAAACCTGCATTATATCTTCACACATCCTATACTGTTCCGTTAACTCACTTACTGCATCTGGATGTGCCTCGGCAAGGATCCTGAACAAAGACCTCGAAAGCCCGTATCGAACTTCTGGACTGGGATGTAGAACTAGTGGAGGCAATTGGTAATGGTCTCCAACTAGTATAAACTTTTTAGCAAGACTTATAGGCCCCAAATTGATGGGGACAGTAATTTGTGAAGCTTCATCAACAATGCAATAATCAAACTCTTGTCTCAAATTAAAACAAGAATCGGAGATACCCAAACAAGTAGTGGCCACAATATTTGGCATCTCGTATGTATTTCTATACTGAGCTCGCGACTTAATGGGCTCCTTGTAGTCGGGAATGTACTTGTGAAGTGATTTGTGAACTCGTAATGGGTATCCTATCCGTAAAAACTTGAAGTCCTCGTCATCCCCCATCTTCTCGACGATTTTCAAAAGAATATTGTCAACAGCTGAGTTTGTGTACGAAGTGAGCAAGACTGTTTTCCCTTCCTCAACAATTCTTCGGACCATCTCTACGATAATGGTACTTTTACCGGTTCCGGGCATCCCTAGTATAAGCGCATAATCCTCTGCGGCAAATACTTTATTGAGAGCCATTGTTTGACAGTGATTGAACTTGGAATCAAATGGATACTTTTCATAATCGGTTGAAAATTTTGGAGGTTTCAAGTCAATTAGTAAATCACGTAGTTCGGCTCGTGAATCAGGCAAGAATATTCTCAAGACATTATACCGGGCAAGACCCATCCCATAAAACATCTCGTCTTTATCGATGATAAATCGCTTGTTTCCCTTAGCCCGAGATATCTCACTTCCATGGATTAAACTCTCCATCACCTGATTATTCTTTTCACTGAAATTGCTCATTTTCATGTCATATGTCACTATTCTCCGTCTGGTACTTAAAGTGATCTTTGACGGCGAGATGGACTTGATTGTGCCCGTAGCAATGGCAAAATGTCCGTCCTCATCGCTGATTAAAACCCTATCACCGGAGGTGAGTTTTGAAGACAACATATTGAAAGATGCGTCATCCTCGTCTTTGACAAAAGTGTACATGAACTGCCTCTCTTGTGATTTATCTCCGTGAGCGCTGGCAATGTAAAATACCAGGCTCAGGTTATCATTCGAATCAATGATTTTCAAATTGCTCAAGCACGTACCCTGCTCTTCACGTAAATAAGTGGGCAAAGTCCATACATGTTTCAAACTTTTGGTCATGACAGACTCTTCTCGTGATATCAATGTATCCCAAGTATTGAAATACTCCTTGTACTTTGGGTTTTGTAAATGGGTTGTGATTGAGTCATATTCATCCTCGTCGATACCAGAATTCTCCTTGGTTCCATCCTCTGACAAATAATTTATTGCCATACATCCAGAAACAACATTACATCTCTCGCAACTTGAACGACGCAAAATTTCAGGTAATGTAGTACCCGATCGTAAGTGTTGAGAAACACGATTTCTCAAGTTGATCAATGATCGCAAATCTGAAACACGTATTTGAAATCTCTTTGTCACACCCTCCTTCGTGTAAACAAGAACGAACGAGTCTATATCCATGTCATAACGATCTTTGAAAAGAAGGGCATACAATGATGCTTGTGCACTATGGCTAATGTATTCACGTCCAGTCTTGATCTCCATAGGTAACAAAAATTTCCCGTCAACGCTCTTGTTTCGTAGACTAGCAATTATTGTCGCGTCTACCATACCTTTCAATCCAAACACGGGAGACCTGATTTCTTCTTCTATATCTAATATATCATCAACAGCGAATGCAATTTGATCTCGCTCCAGACAATCATCAATTTTGGATCGCTTAGATGGAACCTTTTTGTAGTAACTCTCGAACCATTGTTGCAAATAGGGTAGATGCTTCTCCACTTCTTGGTCTATATCTTCCATGTCCTTGTCAATACTGCATAAAGTCAAAAAATACTGTTCTTTCAAATCATCGAAAACTTCCCGCATAAAGTCAAAGCTCCAATTTTCGGCCACCATACATTCTTGGAATATATAATGCACCATCTCTCCTACAATGATGGGAATTGAGGTGGTCCCAGGGAACTTGTATCGCGACACCAAAACCGTCTCTCGAGGACAGTTTATTTGTTGAGCTATCTTGGTAGCCGAAATCAAAATATCAGGATTCAATACAAGCAAGTTGTGGGTATCGTCAATCAAGTTAGGATTCCCTTTATCCGTGTTGATGACATGTATTATATCATTCACACCAAAATCAAGCTCGCAATATTCTCCCCTTAGAATGAGCCTGGAAGTTTGCTTATCAGCATTGGTAACTTCCAAGATGATTTGCTTTTTACCATTTGCTCCATAAACCTGCTCTATGAAATTGAGAATTTTTAACCTTCGTAGAATGGATCTGCCGTATGCAATGTCAGTAAACTCCTCCTCCTTTTCATTTGCCCCACTTTTCTCTAGCCAAAGATTTTCATATTTTTGCATACCCTCTTTGAACGACTTTGTGAAGACGGATGTTTTTGTATCCACGCCGTTCAAAATATTTAAAATCTCCGGGTCCGTTTCATCCGAAAAGGGATCTTCAGAAAGGTCAGCTCTTGGAGAGGATATCAAATCTTCACATTTCAAACCTTGTTTACTCTTTGAAGGAGATGAATCAGGACTCAGTTGTTTATCTTTGGAAAATTCTTGCTTAACTTCTTGTTGCGACAACATTTTCAAAATCTCCTCATCCTCAGAAAAGGGGTCATTTGATTGTAAGGTGTCATCATAAGTTTTACCTGTAGGTGACAGCTTTATGTTAATTGCCTTTGGCTTTTCATGCTCGTCACTATTTAGCTTACTGATCCAGCTACTCAACGCACCTTGCACCAATCCCGAACACAGACTCTTCCCGGCACTTTCCAAACCAGTTGATTTTGTTCTTTGCAAAGAAGACCTTCCTATCGACTCAGCTTTGAATTTACTAGTTTTGCTGCTCAAGTCCGAACGTGTCTTTGTCAATTTTGGTGAAATCGAGGAGACGTTGTAGAAATCTGCGCCATACTTTGATAACACTTCGGTTGTTCCACCTCCCGACTCCTTTTCGATGTGCTTGATATTTTTCAAAGGGGATGACGAGTACTGTACACCGTGTCGGGAAGTATTTACTTTCACCTCGTCAAGATGGCTCGACTTCGAATCAGGGCTATCTCTCCAACGCACTCCATCAAAACTATCATCAGAGTTATCAGTGGCAATCTGGACTTCCAAGTGTTTTTTGACTTTACGCTTGGGGCTGTGTTCGATTGCATGCGATTGACTATTGACTTCTCTAACAGGCTGAACTTGAGAGCGAAATGTATTTGTATCTATTGGTTTAATCACTTGGGCATGACTTTCTGCATCTCCTGTTAGTTTATTCACTGGTTTGAAAAAGTACGATTGCTTCTTGGGTCTTTTTAGTGGCTTTATCGATTCCGTGTCAGCAGTGTTAGACTTCATTATAGAATTTCGTGGTTTCTGTGGTTCTGCATAGTTTGTGTTGGATGTCATATACGGTGGGTGGTGGGTGATTTGTAGATGAATAAATGTTTAAATGTTTTGAGTTGCATAGCTGAAGACGAGCAGCGCGTATCATTTTCAGTGGTGAAGGCGAAATTTGCACCCAACAAATTGTGGGAATCATCACCTCTCTATAGCCTCGTTCTTTAAAAATAAAACTTAATGTATATGTGTATATAGTCGGAGTCGCTGACTGTTATGGCGAACTTGTATTATATTCAGTGATGACTATTAATATACTTCAGCAAATAATAGGTGAAAGAAACACATAGAAAACGATAAACCAAGACAAAACTAGTCTCTCCACCTCAATACATGAAACACACAGTTGTAACTTTCCCACAGTAAAGTGATCAGCTAGACCTGATCCTCAGCTGGTGCAAATGAAAAGAGGAAATAAAAAACAAGTATTGTGGTTATTACTTCACTGTACGGAAACCATGTGTGCGCAACAACTGTTTACAACCAGTTTGGTAAGTACCTCTGAACATTCTACAATTACAAGTACTCGTCACACATTCCAAGAATACCCTTTATCTCTTTGTGTGAGTGTGCAAGGTGTGTGTCTTATCGTCCTCTGTACCTCCATATCTGTCTGGTCATGTGACCCAGAGCAAATACGAAAAAAAGAGAAAATTTCTCTTTTCTCTCTCTCTCTCTCTCTCTCTCTCTCTCTCTCTCTTTTTCTCTCTTTCCCTCTCTCTTCGTTTGTTCCTCATCTCAAAAATTTTTCAAGAAAACACAAGGAACCAATTCAACTTCCATCTCCTTTCAAGTTAAACAAGTAATCACTCTACTCACTTCAAACCACCACACCGCTCTCATACAAATTTATTTCCGAGCACTACCCATAACACCATACGAAAATGGCTTACATTTTAACAGAAACAGCAGCAGGGTATGCGCTTTTGAAAGCCTCTGATAAGAAGATCCACAAATCATCTACTTTGATCCAAGACTTGAATTCCTTGGAAAAAGTTGCCGACCAATTCAAAATTCATCGTTTTGAAAAGTTCCAAAGTGCTGCCAATGCTTTGGAAGAGGCCAATGCGATAATGGAAGGAAAAGTTTCCGATAGTTTGAAGAAATTGTTAGAGGATGCCAAATCAGACAAGAAATCTACATTGATAGTCTCAGAAACCAAGTTGGGTAACTCCATTAACAAATTAGGTTTAAACTTTCAAGTTGTATCCGACGCAGCCTCTTTAGACTTACACAGAGCAATCAAACAGTTTTTACCAGAATTGTTACCAGGATTGGATAATTCCGCCCTCAATCAAATGTCCTTGGGTTTAGCACACTCCATTGGCCGTCATAAACTTAAGTTCTCAGCAGACAAGGTGGACACAATGATTATACAAGCTATTGCGTTATTGGACGATTTGGACAAGGAGTTGAATACCTATGCCATGAGATGCAAAGAATGGTATGGATGGCATTTCCCAGAATTGGCAAAGATTGTAACCGACTCTGTTGCATTTGCCAGAATTATTTTGACCATGGGTGTTAGATCTAATGCTGCAGAGACAGAATTGTCAGAAATCTTGCCCGAAGAAGTTGAAGAACAAGTTAAAACAGCTGCCGAAGTTTCCATGGGTACTGAAATCACTGAAAATGATTTGGAAAACATCAAAGCTCTAGCCGAACAAATTGTCGATTTCGCCGCGTACAGAGAACAGTTGTCAAACTACTTGAGCTCGAGGATGAGAGCCATTGCCCCAAATTTGACTGCAATGGTTGGAGAATTGGTTGGAGCTAGATTGATTGCACACGCTGGGTCTTTGACATCTTTGGCAAAGGCACCTGCATCCACTGTACAAATTTTGGGAGCAGAAAAGGCTTTATTCAGAGCTTTAAAGACTAAACACGACACTCCAAAGTATGGTATAATATATCACGCTTCGTTGGTTGGCCAAGCTAGTGGTAAGAACAAGGGAAGAATTGCTAGGGTTTTGGCAGCTAAAGCCGCCATTTCCTTGAGATACGACTGCTTTGATGAAGAAAGAGACGACTCAGAAGATTTCGGTTTGGAAAACAGAGCCAAGGTTGAAGGCAGATTGAGTCAATTGGAGGGAAGGGATATGAGAACCACTTCAAGAGTTAGCAGACAGCAGCCAAAGATTGATATTACTGAGGCCAGAGCTTACAATGTTGACGCTGATGCCCCATCGAGTGCTGCACAAGATTCGGATGATGAATCAGAAACTGAAGAAGTTGATGAGAAAGTGGACGTGAAAGAGAAGAAATCAAAGAAAGACAAGAAGGAAAAGAAGGAAAAGAAGGAAAAGAAGGAGAAGAAGGAGAAGAAGGACAAGAAGGAGAAGAAGGAGAAGAAGGAGAAGAAGAGAAAGAGAGAAGAAGATGGGGAAGAGAAGTCATCAAAGAAGGAAAAGAAGTCAAAGAAATCCAAAAAGGATTAGATCTGTATTTACACACGGGATTGTACATTAATATCAAGCTAAAACTGGACATTATTGTTGTAGATACACTTAGTCTAACTCTTCCTCTTGTAATTCTGATTCAAACTGCTGGTCGCTTGAAGACTCTTGACTTCCAGATCCAGGCTCGGTATTATTGACATTTCTTGTGTCTGACGACAGTGCATTTTGTCTTTGAGCACCTGCCGGCTGTTGAGTGTTGAAATGATTTGGTTGGTTGTCACCGTCGCTTCCACTGTTGTTCCTATTGGACACTTCAACTCCATTGACAAAAACTGCTGCGTTTCCATTACCTTGCGTAAACCTTTCGAAGCTACTTAGTATACCCGGACTTAAAACATTGCGTAATGCGTCAGGTAGAATGTTTGCAAACCCTGGCTGTTCGTTGGGCCTTGGATTTGTGTTTCCGTTAGTTCCACGTATATTGTTAGTTGTTGTATTGTTTGGAGCACCACCAGTATCTCCTCCTGGACCTCCTTCAGCTCGAGGGGGTTGTCGTGAGCCTTGTCGTCCCCCAGGTCCAGATGCATCACCTTCAGTAAAGTCCCCTATCATATCTCTAAGGCTACTGAGTGGCCAAGCTTCAGAGTTGACGGGACCAAAAACCCCAACATCGGGACTTCCACCCCTATTGTTATCTCCAGCGCGAGGGTTACGATTGAAGTTTGCGTGAGGAGGCGCTTCCACTTGGGTGATGGTCGCCGTCTCCATTCCGTTTCTAGCGAGAATATTTTGCGTGGCTTCCGGGGTCAAAATGTTTGGATGACTCTCATTGAATCTTTGGGAAAGGTCTCTCAAAGACGAGTCACGGAATAAGGGAGTGTAGGTGAAACAATCGCGATCATCTTCGGGACCAACAGCCCTAAGTCGAGCAAGCAATTTCCTCACATCACTTATGACGGCTTTGATTTTATCATCGGGAGCATTTTGTTGGTATGCTCTCTTCTCAGTCAAAGCAATTGCCGAGCTCAATCTTTGAACAAATTGGGGCAAGACTGTTTTCAACCTCAAGTCCCTGTATTCATCTGCCATAACAGATTCTTTGATTGGAAAGTTATTGGGCAACACTTCTCCCACATACGTTTTCAAAGCAGTATCGTAGCATTCTAGAGCGAGCAATCCATTTCCCATATACATGTGGCAATAGCCCAACTGAGTCCATGCTGGAGTAAATGCACGGTCTAAGAAAATAGCAGTGTTCAAGTCGTCTATAGCTTCGGGAACACAGTTGAGACCAATGAATGCGATGGCCCTGTTTGTGTAGATCTGTGGTACATCAGCATATGCAAATGGTGAGGCAAGTAGCAACGCCTCAGTGTAGACTTTGATGGCTTGTGCGTAACTTTGAAAGGCCATCAAGTTATTTCCTTTTTCGCGTAATTCATTTACTAAATTTTGGGTTCGTTCAATTGCTTCCTCCAACCCCGATGCTAGCATGTTCAAAACCGAAACAAATTTAGATCGAAAAGCTTGAACAAATGCCTGGTATGGCACATCCAGCTCATTATATTTACGGAAAACTCGAAAGACAACTTCAGTAAGTCGCTCAATCCCTTGGCCCATCCTATCATTTATGTCTTTGAGGTGATGTAGCGCATATAGGAGCAAGTCTTTTGAGATTCCCTCACCGCTTCTTTGAAAGTCTGGGTTCTCTTCTATAACACGCGAAAGCAACTCAAAAATTTTTGATCTGGTGCGTTTGCTGGTTTCTGCCAATGCATACAGACAGGAATGCTTTAGTGAATCAATCAATTCAACTGTGTTTAGCTTTGGGAACTCGTTTTCACTTGGTGGGTGCTGACTATTCAACACGCGCTCAATAATTTGAATACTGGACTTGTTCCGAAATTTTTCGGCGTTGGAGACGGCAACATCTTTCTTCTTATCCTCATTTAACGTTTGTTTCATAATCACATCCGTTATAAAACCCAAAGCCGTTTCGAGTTCTTGTTTGTCAAGTTCATGCACCCCATCCAACACGAATTTTCCAGCTTTAACATCCTGCGAAATCTGTTGCCAAAACACTCCAAACCCTTGCACCAAATAAAAGTCGAGGGCGTGTGTATTAACATCATCAAAGCTTGTACTCTTCATTGTGATGGCGTAGTCGTGGACGCTTAGATTTTGAACTTTTGGGTGTGATCCTTCTTGCGATCATTTTTTTCTTCTTCTTCTTCTTTTACTTCGGAGAGAGTCGATTCGCGCACGTGAATATCAAATACATACTCTTTAGTCAGTGGTTTTTTTTTTTTTTTTTTCTTTTTTGGTTACTTGCTATTTATCTATAAAGTATCTATTCCATCACTTTTGACGAGCAGCCGCTGCTGCTGCACGCGCGAAATTGGTTGCTGGATTAGTCGATGACGCTGAGCGCAAAGAAGGCAGATTGCTTGCTTTACGTTTGACTTCCTTTTTAGGCTTTTTTCCACTCCCCTTCTTGCTTTTGATATCAGTATTTTTTTTGACTACCGTTCCATTAGAGACGCCAGATACCAGAGCAGAAACACCATTGGCATTGCTGTGCTCGCCAGGCGAGACTGTTGAAGTTTCTCGTGCAATCAATAGACAATCAATCCATCCATGTCCTTTGCCAATTGATGATTCTTTGCCAGACTTGTCCACTACCTTGATAATCTCCGGTTCAGAATATCTGCTAGAAATTTGCTGAAGGAAGTACAAGTCCCCATTTTCTTTGACAACCTCGATTATCAAATACCCTAAAGGGCCACTACTCTGCTCTTCCTCGTCGGCTTCGAACTCATAATCGTACATAAAGTAATCTCCCCCACTGTTTGCCTTCAAGTCAACTAGCATCACCTCTAAGGTGGAATCAACAAGGAAAATTCTGGCCATGTTGGTGACAAACGTGAGCACCAACTTTGAATTCTCTTTTAAAACTTGCGCGTGTTCGGTGACAATCTTTTCCAACACACTGTCGTCAAGAGTTTCATAGTTCAACGACAAGGATGATTTGGGGAGTTGCATTCTTTTCAAAAGATCCATTTTGAGAATTTTCTCATTGGATGCAAGTAAACTAGACACCTCGTGTAGTTTAAGTACTGTTTGCTTCTGTGAACTCCTTTGGGAAGATGTGGCATTTTCTGAACGAGTACTGGATACTGGCGTGGTATTCGGTTTGGCTTGCGAATTGCTCCGCTTTGCAAAAGCAGCAGCAGCAGCAGCCGCATCGGGAGAAGCCTTGGGAGCTACAGGGGCATAAGGAGTAATTCCTTCTGTTATTCCTGATGTATCTTGTTTACTGACTGAGCCCATCTTCGGGGATTGAGACAGAGCAGTTGTAGTTCTCGAAGCTGAGGGCATATTTTGGAAAGCTGTGTTTGCTCGAATATTAGGCTTTCCACGTGGCTGGGACTTGGGTTGCGGTTGCGGTTGCAGTTGCGGTTGCAATTGCAGACCTTGCAAATGTCTAGACGTACCTTCACCTTGCAATTGCGGTGGTTGTGGCGGTGGTTGTGGCGGTGTGGCCAATGGGGTACGATTGTTATTGACGGGTGTAGAAAAAACAGGTTGGTTCACTTGTGTAAGTGGTGCTGCTGTGTGTGGCACCTCACGCCTTTTAGGAGGCAGAACACTTGGCAAAAATTGGTGAGTCACATCTGAAATACCATTTGACGATGTATTTTTTCTTATGGCCGTTGGAGGTTTAAAAGCTTTCTTTGCTCCTATCGTGGGTAAAAAGCCCAAGTCGGACGCATTGATCTGAGATTGTAAATGGTGGTACGAATTGGATTTGTTCATCTCTCTGTTTGCTCCATTTTTAAGCTTGGGGACAATTGGTTGGGATATACTTTCTGTGCCAAAATAGCTTTCAAGTTTGGGCACCTTCCTGTGCCACAAATATTTGGGATCACTCCAATCAACATCGCTAAACCACCGGAACGACATTATATCGGGAATGGCGGGTCTAGCAGAAGGATCTGCCACCAATATTCGCTCGATAATTTCCGTGACCTCCCTAGGAAGTGGTTTGGGAGATTTATATGAATACTGAAGATCAATGATCTTTTGGAATGTCAAGTACTCAGTATTACCTTTGAATGGTGGTGAGCCGTTGAAGAGCTGGTAAAGAATGCAGCCTATGGCCCATATATCAGACTCGAAGCCGCAAATGTTGTCTTTTAATAATTCCGGGGAAACGTACTCTGCAGTTCCAACAAAAGAGCCAAACCTCTCTTTAGGCACTTGTCCTGGAGTATCAACATCTGCATTGAAAGAATTATAGTCAATCTTCTCTCCGTCTTCTTCACCTCCCCCCAAGAGTTTGGCAGCTCCAAAGTCGGTGATTTTCAAATTGAAATCATGACCTACTAAGATGTTTTCCGGCTTGAGATCTCTATGTATTACCCCCTTCAGATGAATGAATTTTACTGCATCAATAATTTGACACATATAAAATTTCGACACAGGCTCAGACAAAGAACCTAGTTTTCTTATGATGGATAAAAGCTCACCATACTCGGCAAAATCCAAAACAAAAAACAAACTTGACTCATCTTGGAAGGTGTAGTACAATTGCACAATACCAGGGTGTTGGTGTCCCAATCTGTGAAGGGTGGTCTTCTCGATGTTGACATACTTGATTTTACCTTCCTTCACAATGTGTCTTTTCGACAACACTTTGATGGCGTATGTTTTCTTCAGTAGCTTGTCCATTGCTGAGTAAACAGTCGAGTAAGACCCTTCACCAATCATCGATCCAAATTGGTAATCACGAACAGATCTTTTTTTCATATTGGGAGCTTGCGATTGTGGAAGCGGCTGTTTTATTGCCGCGGGACTCGAGTTCAGAATATGGGATTGAGACAACTGTTTCGCCAAGTGACTTGGCAAGTCGTTGTTAAGCTGCTGCACAGTGGATTGGCTCGGCTGAGATGGTGCGTTTGGTCTATAGGACATAGCTTATGCATCGAAAGGAGAAGGAGACTTTAGTAATTATGAGCAGTAGTTGATTTGTGTTGATCTGTCAGCTTGTTTTTCTTTTCTCATTTTTTTTTTTTTCTTCCCTTTCCAGGTTTTATAAGCCTTGCGCTAGTTTACCGGAAAGGAAGGGTTTTACACGATAGAAAAGGCGCATTTAGAGTGTTTGGCAAATCTAGGGATAGCAAGTCAAGCTGTATATCAATTTATCGAGCGCGGTGTTGTCGTCATGAGAGCTCCACCTGTTTTCCTACGATATGGGTGGCGATCCAGAAGCCAGTATACCTCAATAGGAAGGCGGCCATTTTCGAGTGCTAAGCCAATTTGGCAGGTGGCACATAAAGACGACTTGGCCAAGATATTTGACGACCAAGCATATTTCGAGGACTTCAACAACACCTCTTCTTATAAACTTCCGTTTTCATTCAAAAAACAGGAGACCGGCTTATTCAAAAATGAGATGTTATCAAGTCCACTGGGGTTGGTAGAGTTCTCAAAGCAATCTTTGGTGGATGCCAAATCATTAGTCGAGGAAATGCTCAACAATACCTCCGATGAAGGTAAATTAAACTATATAAAGAAGTTAGATCAGCTATCCGACATACTTTGCCGAGTGATTGATGTTGCCGAATTTATCAGAATTGTACATCCCAGCGCCAAATGGGCGAACGCAGCTCAAAAGACTCATGAGATCCTTTTCGAATACATGAATCAACTAAATACCAACGTGGAGCTATATACGACTTTGATTGATGTGTTAAACGATTCCGTGATTGCATCGAAGTTGACCGAGGAGGAGATAAAAGTGGGGGAGTATTTGAAGCAGGACTTTGAGAGATCGGGTATCCACATGGACCCCGAAACAAGAAACAATTTTGTTGCCATTACACAAGAGATTTCCTTACTCGGGTCTCATTTCAACAATGAAATCAATGCGCTGGATTCGTCCTGGTGTGCGATCACAACTCAAGATTTGGAAAGTATAGAAGATCAACACATTAAAAAAGAGATTCTTTTGCTTCAGTCAAAATACAAAGGTGAAAAGATTGCCAACGAGTATTATGTTCCGTTATTCGCACGTATTCCCTACGCCATATTAACAAAGTGTACATCAAGCGAGTTGAGGAAAAAGGTATGGGTGGCGTTGCACAACTCCTCTTTGGAGCTGATAAGCATACTCGATAGGTTTGTTGCATACCGAGCATTGTTGTCACAGATGTTGGGGTATAAGTCGTATGCTCATTATCAACTAGAGCATAAAATGGCAAAGTCACCAGAAAATGTTGTGGCGTTCTTGAAAAACATACAAAACTCGTTGAAGAGTAGTACAGTTTTGGACGAGTTGAAGCTTTTGAATTCATTTAATGATGAGAAGAATGTCCAAAAGGATGACGACTTGTTGTTGGACGAGATTAAGCCATGGGATCGTGATTTGTTAGTGTCGAGGATGCAAAAACACAAGCAACAGGATATCGCTGTGCAAACAAAGATTTCAGAGTATTTTTCAGTGGGAACTGTTATTTCAGGATTGAGCAAATTGTTTGAAAAATTGTACAATGTTTCCTTTGTTCCCGAAGCTACCTCACTGGGAGAGGTATGGCAGTCGAACCAGGTGAGGAAGTTGAAAGTCATTGACAATGGAAGCAACCAGATATTGGGGTACTTGTACCTTGATTTCTGGTCACAAAAGGTTATGCCTTCGCATTTCACGATTACTTGTCTGCGAAGACTACACCCATGGGAGAATATATCTGAATACAAAAAAAAAGTACAGCTCGATCAGGATTACCAGCTTCCCGTCATTTCATTGGTTTGTAATTTTAGGGACAGTTTTCAAAAGGGCCCCACACTACTCTCACTTGATCAAGTCGATACCATATTCCACGAAATGGGACATGCAATGCACTCAATGATCGGACGTACAGAGTTGCACAACTTGTCGGGAACTAGATGCGCCACGGACTTTGTTGAAATTCCTTCTGTGTTGATGGAATCATTTAGCAAAGATTTGCGAGTCTTGGCAAAGATAGGGAGACATTACCAGTCGGGGGAGCCAATCTCCGAAAGTTTGCTACAGCAAGCACATCATGATAAAAACACTCTTTCGGCGTGCGAAACGTTTATGCAAAGCAAAATGGCTACGTTGGACCAGAGATTGCACAGTCCCGAGATGGTTGGCAAGTTAGCATCTGGGTTGAGCGCAATCAACTCGACAGAGATTTATCATTCAGTTGAGCAAGATTTAAGGGTATTTGCTGATAAGTGGTCAACTTGGCATGGAAAATTTCCACATTTATTTTCCTACGGTGCTGTGTATTATCTGTACTTGCTCGATCGAGCCATTGCGGAAAAGCTTTGGAAAGGTTTGTTTGACAAGGATCCATGGAGTCACGAAGCCGGAATCAAGTACAAGGAAAGTGTATTGAAGTGGGGTGGAACGAAGGACCCGTGGCTTTGTCTTGCTGATGCGTTGGGGACAGAGGAGTTGAAGGAAGGAAATTCCAACGCCATGGAGTTGATTGGGCAAAATGCTTCTTTGTAATGATTCGTGTAAATAGATTGTATATAACTGAAGAGGGGGAACAGCAGATCAAAGTGTTCAATTATAGCGAGAATGTAGCAGTCTAGGACTTGCGCTTGGTACTTTTAATTACGTCATTGGCCCGAAACAAACGTTTCCGGGTGAAATGAAACTTAGCAGCAGCTCCGGTTATGAGCATCTCTTGCGAGGTAACTCCGAGACCAGTCCCCCGTATCATTGAGAAAGGCCGTTAAGTGAACTCACAGCTTACATTTGCGGAGTTTAGGTTCTGTTTTTTTTTTTGTTGGTTCTTGTACGGCATATCAAAGAAGTTTACAATATTACACAAACTCAATACTCTTCTATCAAAATGCCCTTTACAATTTTTCTGAATAAAGAAGAAAAATTTTTTGACCCTTTTTTTTGTGTGTAAGATGATTTTCCACGAAAATGCCTTCGTTCGCCTTGCATGGTTCTCCAATTACATTCAACACACAGCTTAAAAAGAGAGGAGATAAGCGTTTGTGTGAAATTTGTCTCCTTTGTCCTCGTAAGACAATCAGCACCCACCTTATCCCATACTGTGGATACTTTTTCCGCAAAACTCTTAACTAGACCCACGAGACCAATCAACAAGAAGCTTCAGAAGGAAGCAGCAGTTAACACTGATGAAGCTATCTTTGTTTCTACGGTGTTTATTTTAAGTGTAGTGGCATAATCAGAGAACGAGCATTGGCATCCAGAGTAGGTATCGCGTTAAATTGAAACAGTCGTGTAAGCTACGGAGCGTACTCGTCCTATCAATGCACATACTTATTCCTGGGTACCTAACAACGCAGTGGTCCATCCATACCACAGATAAGATATCGCTAGTTTTTCCTCTCATCTCTTGCCCACACTTTCAAACAGGCTTAGCTCACACCAAAAAAATTTTGAAATAGGCAACAATATATCAAATACAATCCTCAGACTCCGCAACTGGAGCTCAGTTTGACTCCGATGCATCATCTTCTCTTTGAAATACAACCCCACACACCATAGGTGGTTGCAAACCGCTACTTTTTGTAGGAGTCGGCCCCGCTCCCACTCCAAAACCAGCGCCCTAATGAACTGATTGTCCGAGTCCTGCACAAAAGTCTAAAAATTTCTTTTTTTTTTATTGTTTCTGTATCCGGCTTTGTGTAATTGTTGTCAACTTTTCTCTTTCTCTTTCCCAACTGGCGTTTTGCCCTTTTTTTTTCTTTTTGTTTTTTCATTTTTTTTTTTTTTTTTTTTTTTTTTTTTTTTTTTTTTTTTTTTTTTTTTTTTTGTCTTTTTTTTTGCAATTAAGATGATCTTTTGGAGGTCTGATAACATTTGTGTACGCTACTACGTACATCAAGTCTGCAGTTGTAAAACTTTCGATTACTAACAATCAAAAAAAAATTTCCTCTCTTTGACCATTCTGCAAGTTTATAAATCATTTTTAATCCGCTGAGTCAGTCCCACAACTCAAAAGGCGTGGTTTATTTATTTTGAGATCGTATTCTATTACAATCGTGCTTCAAAGATTGTGTTATAACTAGTTCAGCTTGTAATAGCATTCACCACATTTACAATGGCTCCCATCGAAAAATTAACGCCGCTGGCGCTGGCAGTACCCAAGAACGAGGATTACAATGATTCCGTTGACTCTCCATACATGATTGAGGTTGCTGATGAAGGTGCTTCCAAGTTCACTAGATTCAAGGATTCTTTTAGGCGAAAGCAGGTGGATGAATCTCAAAAGGATGAGATTGGGCGTCAGATGTCGAAAGCCATCAGTCCGCGTCATTTGATACTCATGGCTCTTGTTACAGGTATTGGGACCGGTCTTTTAGTTGGTTCAGGACAAGTATTGCACAAGTCTGGACCTTTGTTTCTTGTACTTGGTTTTGCAATTGTCGGTTCGTATTTGTATCCAACTTTGCAAGCTGCTGGTGAATTGGCTGTTAACTATTCCGATTTATCTGGTGGATACAACAATTATCCCAGAAGATTCATTGATGAATCCGTTGCATTTGCTGTCACTTGGAATTATTGCATTCAATGGTTGTCGGTCATTTCTATCGAATTGGTGACTGCTGCGATTACTATCTCGTATTGGAACACAACCGTCAATGCAGACGTCTGGGTCACAATATTCTATGTATTCATTGTGGTGGTTAACTTTATTGGAGCTTCGGGCTATGGTGAAGCTGAGTTTATAATCGGGTCTTGCAAGATTATGATGATTGTTGGATTTATCATCATGGGTATAGTTGTCAATGTTGGTGGAGGTCCAGAACATGAATTTATTGGAGGAAGATATTGGAGAGACCCTGGCTACTATACCAACTTTAAGGGGTTATGTTCGGTCTTTGTCACTGGTAGTTTTGCATTTGGTCAAACGGAATTTGTGGCCTTGAGTGCTAGTGAACAATCGAATCCAAGAAAAGCCATTCCCGTTGCAACTAAGTTGGTTGCATATCGTATTGTGATTATTATGCTTGGTAGTTTGACCATTGTTGGTTTGCTTGTTCCTTACACTTCTGACAGATTGATGGGCTCTGGTGGAGGTGGTTCACATGCATCACCTTATGTTTTGGCTGCAGCATTGCACGGAGTCAACGCAGTGCCCTCCATTATCAATGCCGTTATCTTAATGTCAGTCACTTCTGTTGCATCATCTGCGTTGTATTCATCTTCAAGGACATTGCAATCATTATCAGAACAAGGGTTTGCTCCAAAGTGGTTCAACTACATTGATAGAAGTGGTAGACCGTTGCGTGCGTTGGGTGTATGTGCCTTTTTCGGATTGTTTTCGTACATTGCAGCTTACAAGAAGCAAGAGACTGTTTTCAATTGGTTGCTTGCTATTTCTGGTTTATCACAAATCTTTACCTGGGGTGCAATTTGTATCTCTCACGTACGTTTCAGGGCTGCGTTGAAGTACAACAATATCTCGACCGATTCTTTGGGATACGTGGCCAATACTGGTGTTATTGGATCATACTATGCCATTATTTGGTACTGCTTGGTCTTGATTGCCCAATTCTGGATTGCATTATACCCAAAAGGTGAAGGTAAGCCTAATGTGACTTCGTTTTTCCAAAATTACCTTGGTGTTATTGTGTTGTTGTTCTTTTACATCTGCCACAAGTTATGGACGCGTAATTTGTCCTTCTATGTTCCGCTTGCAGATATTGATATCAACAAGGATAGAACTTTATTCGACCAAGAGTTGTTGGAGATTGAAAAGGAAGAAGAACGGGAAAGATGGAAAAAGGCGCCATTTTATAAAAAGGTTTTGCAATTACTATTCTTCTAAACGTGGCGATATAGATGCTTCCCTTTGTAGTTATGACTGGTTATGAGCTTTATAAATTGTAAATGAAGCGGGATATAAGTACATTGTACTCAGTTGTAGCAAAGGTGTGGTGGATGAAGGATGAAGCAAAAAATAATAATAATAAAAACAAAAAAAAAAAAGAATACAAATTATCAACTTCAGTTAGATCTATATACAAAAGTGTTTGACAACCGATGTTTCTTTGCCCACTACGCCGGCCACTACGGTTTACCAGTACTTCTACTAAAAACACGTCAACTCTTCTCAGAGCCCAGTTGGATTTGAATGACATTGTACAGAGCCCTCAAGAATATAAACAATCCATCTCTAGACGTCGACTACCTGAGAGTTTGATTGAAAATGTCGATTTTATTGTTGACATGAGACATGCCCAATCAGCAAATTATTCCAAGCTCAATGCATTGAAGAGGCAGAGGACGGAATTGGCAGAACAATTGCAAAAGAAGGCCCCGAACTTTGCCTTGGTCAAGTCCCAATTGCAGGACTTGAAACCTTTGATAAAATCATTGGAAAAAGAAGTCAAGGAGGTACAAGAGGAAATATATAGCAAAGCAGAGGCATTACCTAATTTGCTTGACCCTACTGTTCCTGAAAGTGAGACTGAAGAAGAATTGGTGCGGTATGTAAACACATCGAGTCATGAAGTTGACAAGTTTACTACTGGCCCTGACCTTCGCAGAGATCACAAAACCATTGGCGAAGGCTTTGGATTGTTTGATTTTGCGACCGCTTCGAGGGTATCAGGACCTTCGTGGTATTATTTATTAGGTGATGGGGCATTGCTCGAACAAGCATTGGTGCAATATGCTCTAGCAAAAGCTCGGCAACATGGGTACAAAATGGTTGTTCCACCTTCAATTGTAAAGTCTGAAATTGTACATGCCTGTGGGTTCAAACCCAACGATCAGAGTAATGAGAAACAAATCTACCAAATCGAGGACGAGCCCAGGTCATTGACAGGAACTGCTGAAATCCCATTGGGCGCGCTTCATTCCTCGACTATTTTCCCATCAGGAACCAAGTTCCCCATCAAGTACGCAGGTGTTTCAAGATCGTACCGAGCAGAAGCTGGAGCCAGTGGCAAGGATACCAAAGGGTTGTACAGAGTCCATGAATTCACCAAAGTAGAACTATTTCACTTCACAACGTTGGACAAAGCCAAAAATGAGCTTGAAGGTATCAAAGATTTTCAACTTCAGATTATAGAGGAGTTGGGGTTGAAAGCCCGTTTGCTAAACATGCCAACATCGGACTTGGGATCACCAGCTATGAAAAAGTATGATATTGAAGCTTGGATGCCAGGGAGAGGTTCTTGGGGCGAGGTGACTAGTTGTTCAAATTGTGGAGACTACCAATCAAGAAGACTTGGTATCCGCTTCAATGGGGAGGATAGCAAAGTCGAACATGTTGCTACGCTAAATGGAACCTGTATGGCGGTACCAAGAGTAATTGTCGCGCTAATTGAACAAAATTATGATGTAGAGAGGGATGCCATACGAATTCCAAAAGTGTTGCAGCCGTTCATGGGTGGGAGGTACATCATAGCCAGACATGAATAGTCTGTGTATTGCTTGTATATATATATATATATATATATATGCTAATCTTTATCAGAGCTGTTCGCAAGCTCTACTGGTGTGCTAACTATTCGCTTGCCATTTGAAATCGTGTTGTTCTCTTCAATCATTCGTAAGTTGGTGTTGTGGAACCTCTTTAAATTCTGAATACTTGGTGAAGGTAGATTGGAAACCTGCTCAGCTTGAACTGTGTCCGCTAGAGTTGCGAATTTTTGCAGAAGAAGCTTATACTGGTCATACTTTTGAGTATACTTTTCCACAAGACACTCGTAATTGCGCTCGAGAGTCTGGATTTTCTTCTCCAACTCATGGACTTTTGATTCGCCAGAAACAATCTCTACGGATTTAGGGTCACTATTCTTCTGATCATGTAAAATTTGCTCAATCGAGGCCAACTTTGCTAATATTTGACTATTGGTGAATTGCGTTTCCTGTTTTAGCTCATTGACTGGGGTCAACTCTTGTCTCAAACTTTCTTTCAACTCGCTACTCGACTGTGAGAGCTCCTTCATCTTCTCTGATATGGCTGCGATGTTCAACGTCTTGATAGATTCCGATATGTGGTTAAATTGTTCCTCAAGAATTCTTTTACTCAATCTGTCATCTTTTACAAAAGCGGTGAACTTTTCTAGTTCCGCTCTAAGCTGCACATCGGTGCCCCCAAAATATGGCTGTATCGCATCCTTAATCTTGGCAAGCTCATCCTCTTTCAAGGAGATTTGTCTCATTTTCAACTCCTCCAATGCTTTAATGATTAAGCTCATGTCAGCCTTCGTTGCATTTCCTTCCGTGACCACTTCATTCGAGTACTCTACGATGTTCTTCAAAAGCTTATTCAAATTCTCATTATTGCTCTTCAGCCGGGAGTAAAGCTGATCCAAGTCAACGTTGGTCTGCTTGGTCGAGGTTTCTATCCTGTGTAATTGCTGCAGTAATTCATTGTGACTTTCGTGAATCAAGTCGAAATGCTTGTCCAAGTTGGGTGTACTATTGATTGAATGCTGTTTCTGTGATGACCCCAAGGTGTTGGTAACGTCCTGCAATCGGTTTTCCATGATACTTTCCTGCCTCCGTGACGGTCTCTACAATAAAGTTTGGTTTACGCGTTATTATTTGTTTACGTTACACTTTTTTGTGACATTGTTTTTTTTCTCTAAAGTCTATTCAAAACCCAAACTTACTTTGCAATGCAGAGGAGTAAAATGACTTTTTTTGATCTTCATAGCCTTCTTGGAATGTTTGACTAGCACTGGTTGCATAATCATTGAAAGTTTCCTCGGCTGTTTGCAACCCGTTCTGTAATGATCTCATAAACCCTTGTGATCCAAATCCTCCTGCACCTTGACCAGCTTTTCGCACCGGCTCCTCATAATCCTTTTCTCTGGGAGCTTTGGCATTGTAGCCACCGTAATTTGCTTGCGGGTTGGCTTCAGGGCTGACGTTATGAGCCAAAGTTGACTCCTCCCTTCTTGGCTCTTTCCTGTGAGGGCCGGCAATGAGCATTGCCAAGTCTTCAACGGAGCTATAGTTGATTTGGCCCTTGACCCACAGTAAGGCGCTGGCTGATGGTCTCGGTGGGATTACGGCATTGGGGTTAAACAACTTATCGGTTTCACTACTGTCCTTTGATTTCGTCTTTTCAAAAGCAACAATGTAAACAGACTCTGTTTCCGACTTTCTTACGAAAATTTCACCAGAGGGCAACAAATCGGAGTCAAGTGCATGTTTCGATTCCAATGATTCTTGGACCGCGGTATAAGTCTCTTTTGGTAATTTTATATTGGCAATATCGTGCAATGATGGTAGAGAGAGCAATTTGATGAATCCTGTTTTGACAAGCACAGCCAAGACGATCCCTTTATCTTTATAATGTACCACATTTGCCCTCAAGCACACATCGTCAACCACCTTATGGGCAAGTTTTGTTTTTGGTGGGGTGATGACTCTGATGTCTCTGTCAGATACTGTGAGAATGTACCCGGGTATTGGTACACCAGTTGCCAATTGGTTAAACTTCTTTTCGTCAGCAACGGCTGATGATCCAAACTGTGCATCAATCGGTATTAATTGCAGAAGTTTCGAAGCTTCTGCATCACCACCATCAGCAGTACGATAGTTGAGGTGTGCAGTTTTATTGGCAAACTCAACTTGAAATCCTCCGTTACCTACTGGGGTGATCTTGTAGAATAGTAAGTTACCTCCACAATTTGTTCCCACATTTAATACTAGTGAAGAGTATCCATCCATGCCAAACTCCATTATGGAAAATTCGAGTACTGTGGGATAACAGTTTCCAGTGACTGAGACTAAGTTGTCCTTCACACTGGGGAGATTGAAGATCACCGCTGGACCCCTTGAAATGTCACAGACAACTAATCTTCCCGACTTGTAACCAATGGCAGCAAATCCAGCATCACTCATTTTAAGAACTGAAATTTGTTCTGATGGATCAAGTCTCAACAAGTACAAAGGCAAGAAAGAAGCTGACGTTGCAACGGACCCCGAAATTCTACTGCTAATATCAACAAGCAGAGCACTTCCATTTCCATGGTGAATGGGACAGTCGCTGTAATCCTTTGAGGCGCTAATTCCCGCATTTTTCACATTTGGTGTTTTACCAAACTTGCAAATCACAACTTCACCTGAAGCCAAGCCAACAATAAGCTGACGCGTTTGAAAGGAACATGACACTTCCACCACTTTAAGATTGGCTGGATTGTGGTAGTCGTACAAAGTGGATCTCAATGCGACTTGAACAATCCCTTCACCACCCAGTTGCTCGCCTTTGGTAATATCTATGAATCGCACCAACCCATTCTCGTGACCGGTTATCATTATATTCCGGAACCCTTCGTTATATCCAAGAGGTCGGGACAGTCTCGCCAAGGGCATTGGTGCCCCTCCATAAAGTAATGGTTTCACTTTGGAGCTTACACCTTGAGATGCTCTAGTGGACATAATGCCGTACCAATCAACTCGAGGGACAGCTTGGACGTCACAATAGCTTAAGGGCGGCACAATTAATGATAGTGAGGTGGGGAGGATAGTATTGCCTAGATCGCCGCTACCTTGACCCCCTCCGCCTGCTTTATCCGAAAAAGAAACCACGTACAATCTACCCAAGTTTGACAATAGTAGTAAAAATGCAGGGTTATGGCCATCGTGGAAGTACGGAGAGCCTGTTTCGGTCACTGGTTGAATTGTAGTGATCACTTCTTTGACTGTTCCATCCACATCATCTTCGTTCAAATAAAAGTTTATTGGGATTTTCCGTTGACCACCTTGAGGATTGGCGTAGAACAACCCTTGCTTTTCATGCGATGTCATTGAGTATTTCAACGTATATCCAAAGTCCAATACCGATATCGTATTGGTGGCATCGGCGTCACCGCCACTGACTAATAGTTTCGTCTCCTCTGGGTCCTCGCTGCACACCCACTTAACCTGTTCGATGGGGTTGAAAACTTCCGGAACTTCCAAGTATGCTCCAGGTCTGTGGAGCTGTGTTTCGTACAATGTCCTTGCCTCCAAAAGAACTCCCCCTTCCAAGTCCCAAAATGCAATAGTATTGTCATTGTGGACAGTCACTGCATGCAACCCATTTGGATGAAAATGTGCTTCTTTGATCATTGGTGTGATCGACTTCAGGGACCCAAACAATTTTTTCTTTCCTCCGGTTGCTATGTGATTTGAGTACTGAAACCCTTTGTGATCCTTTGACAATGTATATGTCAAGGTGCTTTTGATCTGGCCAGTGGTCAAGGAGTACAAAATGGCGCACTGGTTATACGCAACCAACAAGGTTCCAATGTCACGAGGGTGCCATTCAATTGAGACAACAGGGGACAACTTTTCCTTTGGCATGACTTTTTTTTGCAAGTTATCGATTCGAAAAGGAGTTAAGTTGGTTCTATCAATGTCATAAAATATCAAACTGCCGTTTGAAAGTCCAAATATGGCCCAGTCCAAGGACGGATCGGTTTCCATTGCGGTAACTGTTCCAGGGAAGGAAAACGATGGGAAAGCAATTTTTGAATGCAAGGAAAGTATGGTGAGTCCCGAACTGGGCGAGGAGCAAAGTAAATAGACACCCTTGACGAATTGAAGCGATACAATGGGATGTTTGATCTTGAATTCAAAAACCACCTCGACATTAACTTGACCATAGACGCGGACATCATTGCTCTTCGTAGCAATCGCAAGCAACGACTGGACGGGGTCATAGGCTATAGCAGTTATGGAGTCCTTTGGCACCCCAATTTGGTTGATCTTCTCAACGTCTATTTTCTTTGCATTGATCTCTTCTGGGGACAAGTTTTTTGCCCCTTTTGTTTTCAATGTGTTTGAGATGGAGTTAAGCGATAGTGGAGCTTTTCTAGATTTGAGTTTTGAAAACATCCTTGTGCAGAGTTGCGAGGAGCGAGGGGGGGGTGTTGGCAACAAGTCCGGTGCTGTCGGGGTTTGTTTTGTTAAAGGAAAAGGATGTTTTTACAGCCTCGTTGTTTTTTGGCATATAAATACACGTGACGTATTGTCGTGTAAATGTGGCGAAGTTTACATACACGTAAAAAGTTTCAACTTTCATCTTTGTTTCGTATTTTTTTTCAAAGCAGGATAATCAATTAATCAGATTGTTTTAGGCTTGCTTACATCGCTTCAACGACAATGGTATGTTAAGCAGACCGCTTGGCTTTTTGCTTCATTTACTAACATGAACAAATTAGGCCGCTGATAAACTTCTTGGGTTTGCAATGCTTCTCGTAGCTGCATCTGTATTCACCTACTACACAACATGGGTATTTGTAATACCATTTGTCGATGAGGACTCATTCATAACCAGCTTCTTTTTGCCTAGAGACTATGCTATTAAATTGCCTTTGTTGTTGCTTCTTGTTGCCGGTTTGGGAGTGGGAACGTTTATTGGAAAAGTGTTGATTAAGAACCAACAGAAGCAAAAGAGTAAGAAAAAGGCGCAATAGAGTGAGTATACACTGTTTGAGGGGTGCCGTGAGAAAGACAGTTATTAACCACTTTATGCTAGGGAGGAGCCAGCAGGATTGATCAGGGAGAGCTGAGAATAGTATAGCTTGTTGTGTTAGAACTACGTATTGATTTGCAAAGTGATTTGTTAGTGACGTGTATCTGGATGTATCAAGACCTCACTATGTAGTCTCCACTTGTTGTGGTGTATTTGACACCCTTGTATGGTTTAACATTTTCGCCCATTCCTTTAGCATTGACCACTAAAAGGCTATCTACTTTTAGCCCACTAGGTACAGGACCCTTGTGGCTGTAGTTCAACTTGATATGCAGGAGTTTTCTGTGGGTGGAAGATTCTCCTTGTAAATGCTCGTTGCCATCATTTTCCTCTCCAATTATCGTTGCACTAAGAGTTGGGACAACTCCCTTCTTGAACTCCTTCAAACTCCACTCGTGCTTGTGAGATAAACGGGTTTGAAAGTCGCCGTGACTGATTCTATTCACTTTTATTTGATCACCCACCTCCTCACATACAATTTCCACTTTGATGAAGTCAATTTTTGATATCATATTTGCAGGAAACAACTTGATTTCAAACTCGGATGTGTCTGGTTGAGATATGAATTGGACGTCAATGGTACTTAACTTTAGCAAGCTGGTTTTCTCTCTATTACTCTTGAGATCATTCAAATCAAGTTGGTATTTCAACAAAGTGCTTTTACCTTCTGGTGGGATGAACGATAGCACACCTCGTCTCTCTTTGAACAATTCCGTGTTTATACACCGATGAAATCGAGGTAGCTCCAAATTAGCCCCGACCTTATTCAAAACCAACTCTAATGTTGGTGCACCAGATAACTGACTGAAAAAATCAACACGTCCATCAATGCACCCGCTCAACACGTAATTGTCAACTTGGTTGTCAGTCTTGCTCGAGTAAAACGCCGAATCATATCGCTCTAACTTTGATTTTGTTGCAATTGGTTTCAAAATCACGCTGACGGTCTCGACAACATCAACGTACATTTCGTTGCTTGTATGGCGAGCGTCATTTCTCCTCCACGGAATATCGGTGGTGAAACTTTGCTTTGCCTCCGCTTGTAGCCCGGTTGTCTTTTGAGCCTCGTTGATAATTTTTGAAAGCAACGAAGTATGACTCACCACGTCTCTTAACTTGTTGAAGTCGGTTATATACGGCATTCCGTCATCGAGCATCTGATATAGAATCAACGTAATCACATCGGTGTTGGCTTCAATCTTACTTCTTGTCAATTCATCAAAGTAGTCTTTTAAAGTTTCAACCAATCTTGAGATAAAAGTGTACGGAATGAGTGGGTTGGACGTGATGTCATCTTCAGAGCACAAGACATAAAAGTGTAGTGAGTGGAATCTGCAACCGATTGCATAGTAATTCGAATTCAAGTTAACTTTCGTTGGTAAACTTGTTTGCGAGCTGTCAAAGTCTAATGTGGTGACATCAATGTTGGCTAGTTTAGGTAGAATTGCTTTGTATTGGGGTAGTAAAAGACTGTTGCTGTACTCAAGCGCCAACGTATGCGAAATGTCTGCAATGTACACAGCTTCAATCATGATGTATCGAGATCCACTTGTCTGTTGGCTTTTTTTACAGTCCTTTGATGCATTTATAGGTGAGTGAGCGCTACCGGTAGTTCACGTGATGTCCACCAGACCACTAGAAGTAGTGGACCAATTGGAGGGTCTCTAGCACAAGCGTAGTGGTGTTGAAATCAAGTCATAGTGACTCTGTCTACACTATCACCAAATCTTCCGGGATTGATTAAACTATTAAAAAACTATAAAGTGTACGACATTTCTGACGAAAAGCTCCAAAATCTGAAGTATTGTAAAAATTAAAAAAAAAAAAATGTACATATTATTGCAGGACGGGGGATCGGGGGAAAGGGGGGGAAGAATCGTTGGTAAAATAGGTTTCCTCGTTTGTTAAAATATTGTGAACGGTTCAAACATAATTCATTATCTCCTTAGTCATCCTTGTGTTCACATCCAAGGGTGGGCTATCTTCACATCGGACCAACTCTCAAGCTTTGTCTCTACCATGGCATATTCAAGTCGCTTCACGAGATATAAAACGGGGATACTCTGTATCACTTTCCACAGTATATCTACACACACACACTTTTTTTTTTTTTAACCATACTTTCCTATGCCAGGGGAGCAACAGAAGCTATCGAGACGATCTTGGCAAATACTTGCAAAATGCAGCCTTAATTGCTGTTCTTAACCGTGGAGGAACGTTCTTGCATGGAACTGCTTCCTTCAGCTATAATTTCATGATCTGTATCACGACTTCCCTCTTCGTCTTCGAGATCGGTTATATCCACCATCAAATCTTTGGCCACTCTTTCTTCAACATCAGGAATGTCTTGCAATCCGTAAAAGGCGATTGTAGCCAAGCCCAAGAAACCGGCAACACACGAAAATACTAATGCAACAATTCCTTTAGCAGTGAATCCAGTAGGCAACCTCTTGTGCTGAACGTTTTCTCCGGACAAGTCCAACAAGTTGACGTCATTTCCAGCAGCATTTCCCTTCCATGGCACACCAACCTTCTCACAAATTTCCTTATGATTATCTGTGATTTGTTGCGTTTCATTGTTTCTAATAGCATTTGGATTCTCAACAAATACAACTGCCAAACCTTGATCCAAATGCCATTCGATATGACAGTGGAAGAACCATACACCTGGGTTATCAGCTTTGAAACGAATGACAAAGTACGATTGAGGGCGTACGTACAATGTATCTCTCTTCATTGGATATTTAGGCCACTCGGCGTGATCAGAGGCATTAAAGGCAACTGGATCTTCATCATCATCCCTTGCAGCACCTCTTTCCAAAACTTGGAAAACATGACCATGTAAATGGAATGGATGTGTACCGGTGTCCAAGTTGTTAAGCACAATGTCAACAACTTCATCTTCTTCCAAGACGAACGTGTTTGTGTTGGTACCATAGACTAATTCGTTGGTGGCTTCATCACCGGCAGATAAAACACTGAGTATAGTTGGTACTTTTGGCTTGGTGTAGGAGATGTTGTTGAAAAAGGCATAGTTGATACCATTGCCCAAGTTGTCCATTTGCACTTGAAGAGTAACTGTGTAATCAGCGTCATCCAAAATTTCTTGCTTATCCAATGGCACCAAGTAAAAGTCATCTAAAAAGTCATCAATTGAATCAACATAATTTTGTTCTGGTTTGTCGCCATCGTTGTACATCATGTAATTTGTACCATTCAATTCTAAAGCTTTGGGAACGGTATCCAACATGGTGTCATCAGCTTTGTTCATGAATGCATAGTTTTTGTCAGTGGAGTTCTTGGTGTGTACCAATACAGTATATCTCTGAGCAATGGTGACATAAAGCATGCTGGCTTCTTTTGGTTCTGTGTAAACACCATCCACTTCAACAACCGTCATGTTGTGATCCTCAATCCAAAGATATTGTGAAATGAATCTTCCAGTGTTGATGATTCTCAATAAATAGGTCTTGTTTGGCTCCACCTTCCAAGTAGCATTTCTAGTTTCATTGAACAAGAGGTTGTCAATGATTGGTTCTGCACCAGTTGGATTGAATCTGCTCAAGAAATCAGGCATCAATTCTGCAGAAGTCTTGTGGTAATGTTCATTCAAAGTCAAGACAACTTCTTCGTCGTAATCATATGGGTAATCATCTTTACTTGGCTCTTCGATGATGAATACGCCTCTCATACCATCTCCGTATTGCCCAGAAGTATGCGAGTGGTACCAATAAGAACCAACTTGTTCATCCACAGTGAAATTATAAGTGAAAACTTCACCAGCAGGAATAGGACATTGCGACACCATTGGAGGTCCATCCATCTGAGACGATCCATGTTGGAACATACCATGGAAATGCAACGTCGTATTTAAGGTGTCAAAGCCATTGATCAAGTGCAAAATAACACGGTCATATTTTTTCACTCTCAAAGTGGGCAATGGCCAAGATCCATTGAAACCAATCATACTTCTTTCGAAAACACCATCTGGGTTGAGGCCATCGACCCAGCCAGTCTGGAACCACCATTCATGAGTCTCAGCGGCTATTAGCGTTGACAAGAACAACACTGATACAAAGTTCCACAATCGCATGGTGGGGGTCTATTGATGATGGGAAAACGCCAAGATCAAAACGAAGGGTACAACTTGGTGTTATTGTGACGGGTGGAATATGTGTCAAAACTACTGGAAATAATAAACCCCCTTGTGATGGAAGTAGTATTTTCTTGGCAAAGAGTCTTGTGTTTTGAAGCGGTGATTCTTTCCTTGGCAAAGCGCAAAATATAAGTTGGTTTTTAGTTCAATTGAGACAAGGATGGGTCCTGAACTATGGTTGGAAATAGCAAGAAAAAAAGATGGGTGGAATGAACAATGGTTTGAGCAAATTTTGCAATTCCTCTTTTTCCTCAAGAGTTAAGGATTCCTTGAGTTCTTAAATATTTTTCTGAACATTGGAAGATGGGATTTCATGAGCAGGATGAAAAGAGAAAGACAATAACTAGACACAAACAATGCCAAAAAAATAAAAAAGAAAATAATTAAAACGGAAAATAAAAAAAAAAAATTTTTAACTTTTCCATCAGTTACACAAATGCAATTTCTCAACAGACAGTGAAAACATGGAATGTTTTGAAGAAAAGAAGAGTCGGACATTCCCTACCACTGGCACATTCTGCTCTCATACGTAGTTTCCGTAAGGAACGTGTTACAGGCACTCGTCATACATCTCACCGGCGTATTAGCTTATTCTTTCATTTTAGGAGAGGGGGTGTTTTGAATGCAACTTTAAAGGACATACAATAACTTGGTGTATGTTTATTTCCCTCATTAATTTGTCAGACACTTTTGTTTCATTGGCTAAACCTTGTTTTCTTCTCTCATGGTGTACCAGCATCTGATGAAATCAGATAATGTACAGCGGCATAATTTTTTCCATAGTAAAGTATGGTTCTGTGCTAAATTGGGGTGTTTTGTTCATGTGGCACGACTTTTAAAATTGTTCTTGAACAATACGACCACCAATACAATACACAATAAACAACAATACCCGACAATGTTAGCCAAACGGGCCATGCGGTTAACATATGTCAATTCTAAATAAAGCCGTGGAAAGGGAGGCTCGAGACTAACAACGGAATTTACTATCTCACAGAGAAGTGATTACTAACGCTAGAATTCAATTCTAGAGTTGGTGTTGCGTCGGTCCGTTATACATTATTGTTTGAACAAAAGTGCAGGGACTCAATCTCCTATTTTTATATGTAAAGACCGTCAGCATTGATAATGTTGAGGAGATCAGCTGTTTCATATCGCACTTTCTCCCTAATAAAGTCAGGCGATGTTGCATTGAGTTTTGTATTGGTTGAGAACGTTTGATTGGACAGTGGCTACTTAATTCGCTCGTATAAGTAGAAATTGTGAAGGGAGGCTTTAGACCATGGAGTTTAAACTTTTTGACCTCCTACTTGTAAACTGATTTGTGTTACTTATTAAGCAGCAGTACTGTCTAAAGGTGTCTCAATTTCAGCCAATCATAGAAGAGAACTTTTTACTTTTGGGTTAATTGTTTGTTTATTGTTGTTCTTTTTTTTTTGTCTGTCTGTCTGATATAAAAATCTTCTCCGACTTTGTGTGTTGGGGCTTCTCTATAGCAGCAGCTATTGTATTTGCATTTATACAACTGTCAAAGTATAGACGAGTAACCACGTTGTGGTTGATGTTCTTGTTAAGTTGGGTTTTTGAGTGCCCTTTCCGTTGGAATTAGTATGATTTGGATCTCTTTCTCTCTGATTGGATCGGGGTAAAAAAAAAAGATCACGCGGAATTGTCTCCTTCACCAGGTATGTAATCGTATTCCAGATTTCACCACATAGGACATATCAGGTACAGGATCCTATCTTTTGCAACCGAAATACGTCAATGATTTGTCTTGTGATACGCCAGTCTAGCTCCGATTTATTGCGTTGTACTTGGAAAACGTCTAAAGCTACAAGCACTACTTACCTGTCTAAATTGGCACGGGTAGGGATTATATCAACTATAGTCTAACTATATATAAGTAATGTAACAGGAATTGAATGTTTCTTGGGGGGCAATAAAACATTCTATTCCCATGGTAGAAAAAAAAAAGGGGGGGGTTGGTTGATATTTTGGGGGCATCTCATTCATCAAATCTTTTAAAAAAAAAAATAGGTGTTGTCTAAACAACATCTCTCTGGTCATCTAAGCAAACATTGTGGTTCAATCAAGTGAGTCAGTTAGAAAGATAGCGCCACTTAAAGGAGAAGTCATTAAAAAAGGAACCCTGTGTTCATGGTATTTCAAAAGGGTCCTTACGCACACACATTTTTAACCACCTTCCCGCCTATTCATGAGCTCCCAACTAACATCATCACAAGAGCTCCCCTGATTAATGTTTATGAGTAGATGAACCCTCAGTTGAGGATGTTTGTCTAACAATTTCTGCACTGTCATCTTCGTCTTCCAAATCAATAGCCAAGTCTCTTGCAACTCTTTCCTCAACATTCTCGATATCATGCATACCGTAAAAGGCAATAGCAGCCAAACCAACAACACCGGCAACGCACGAAAATACTAATGCAACAATTCCTTTAGCAGTGAATCCAGTAGGCAACCTCTTGTGCTGAACGTTTTCTCCGGACAAGTCCAACAAGTTGACGTCATTTCCAGCAGCATTTCCCTTCCATGGCACACCAACCTTCTCACAAATTTCCTTATGATTATCAGTTATCTGCTGGGTTGCATTGTTTTGGATTCCCATGGGGTCCTCAACCAATTGAATTGCCAAACCTTGATCCAAATGCCATTCGATATGACAGTGGAAAAGCCATACACCTGGGTTATCAGCTTTGAAACGTAAAACCATGTATGATTGTGGTTGCAAAAATACCGTGTCTCTCATCATTGGGTACTCTGGCCATTCAGCGTGATCAGAGGCATTAAAGGCAACTGGATCTTCGTCGTCATCAATTGGTTCGTGTCTTTCAATCAATTGGAAAACGTGACCGTGCAAGTGGAATGGATGTTTACCGGTGTCCAAGTTGTTAAGCACAATATCAACGACATCATCTTTTTGCAAAACAAAAGTGTTTGTGTTGGTACCATAGACTAATTCGTTGGTGGCTTCATCACCAGCAGACAAGACTGTAAGTAAAGTAGGCACTCTAGGCTTGGTGTAGGTGATGTTGTTGAAAAAGGCATAGTTGATACCATCACCCAAGTTGTCCATTTGCACTTGAATCGTAACTGTATAGTCAGCATCGTCATAAAGTTTCTCCTTATTCAATGGCACAAGGTAATAATCATCAAAGTAAGCATCGATTTCGTCTTGAGTCAAGTCATAAGATTCAGCTTCACCAAGCTCTTCATTATACATGATTGTGTTTGTACCATTCAATTGCAAATCGTCTGGTTGAGTGTCCAACATATCAGGGTCAAGTCTGTGCATGAAGGCATAATTTTTATCAGTGGAGTTTTTAGTAGTGACCAAAACTGTATATCTTTGAGCAACAGTAATGTAGATCAAGTTGGTTGTATTCCTCTCAACATAAACACCATCCACTTCAACAATTGTCATGTCATGATCTTCCATCCAAACGTACTGCGACAAAAATCTTCCAGTATTGATGATTCTCAACAAATAGGTCTTGTTTGGCTCCACCTTCCAAGTAACGTTTCTAGTTTCATTGAACAAGATATTTTGTGGAATCAATTCAGCACCAGTTGGGTTGAATCTGCTCAAGAATTTTGGCATTAATTTATCTGATTCTTCATGGTAATGTTCATTCAAAGTCAAGACAACTTCTTCGTCGTAATCATATGGGTAATCATCTTTACTTGGCTCTTCGATGATGAATACGCCTCTCATACCATCTCCGTATTGCCCAGAAGTATGCGAGTGGTACCAATAAGAACCAACTTGTTCATCCACAGTGAAATTGTACAACATTGTCTCGCCAGGTGGAATGGGACACTGAGTAACCATTTCTGGTCCATCCATTTGATTGGTACCTCTTTGGAACATACCATGGAAATGCAACGAAGTGTTTCTGTCATCGAAACCGTTAGTCAAGTAGAAATTGACTCTGTCACCTTTCTTCACTCTCAAAGTGGGCAATGGCCAAGATCCATTGAAACCAATCATGCGTCTTTCAAAAACACCGTCTGGGTTAACTCCATCAACCCAATTGGCAGTGTAGTACCATGTATGAGTCTCGGCAGTGACAAGTGCTAATAAAGCAAGGATTACTAGCGAAAATACTGACTTCATGGGTTAGTAAGATATTTCGAGGAACAAGGATACAAGACTGTGGTGGTTATATGTTGTTGTGGTTGTTTTTCTCCAACCGCTTTTGTTTAAAGATTGATAGAGACCCAAAGACCAAAAGAGAGAGGAAATAAGCAAAATTAGTGAAAAAGAGCTTGGTGGGAATATGGATGACTATTTATAATGATTGTCTTCCATTTTTCAAGAGTGAAACTTATTGTTTGAAAAGGCATGCTGATGAAATTGATAAGTCGTTGTAGTGCAGTTAGCGTTGATGAGACTAAAGTACGATGCAAAGAAATTGGAAATTAAATAAAAAAATTTTTCTGGGCAAAGGACTGGTTGGGTTTAGTGTTGCAAAAAGTGTCGACTTTTTTTTTTCTTGGCTTTTACAGCAAAGGGCAAAGTGGCTAGACATTGAATAACTGAATAAGCTGTAAGCGGCAGTCATTGGTGAGCTGGCGGGATGAACTGTAACTGTTCTGTTGTTCTTTATAGGAAGCTCACGTAGTACTTCTTTCGTAGAATTGGTGGAGTAGCAATACCATTGTGAAGGTGATGTTGAAAGAGCTAGCCGGGTGCGTGTACCTTGTACCGGAAAGTGAGTGTGTCCCTGTTTTGTGTCTAATGTCTGCAGTTGAAAGAGTGGATCCAATTATTACATAAACATAGTGTGTGTATATGTGTGCGTGTCCTGTGTGTAAAAATTTTATCTTTTCCATCAATGCGAGAAAAAAAAAGAAAAAAAGAAAACAAAAATGTCATTCAAATATGCAGACACTGAAAGTTGGGAAATTATTTCGTTACCTTCTTTGTGATTTGCTGTTTTGAAAAAAGCTCTCAGCAAATTATATCGAGGAAAAAAATACTAGCATTGTGTTGTTGCTGTTTTTGCAATTCCGCATATGGAGAAGCAGTCTGCAAGTATTCTTTGTTGAAGTGTGGTAATTCATGGAATCTAACAAAAACTTGTTGTGGTGTTCGAGTAGTAGAGAAGTCACGTGTGTGTCCAAGTTTTTCTTATGAATGTGGAGATGTGTTGTATGCCTTGACATGACAACCAGCATATAGTGTTAATCCTTGCACTGGTGAACTTCAGAAGAGAGTTCTGTTGCCAGCAAGGCCACAAGAGTGTCTCCTCCTACTGTGCCAAGTTTATTCAAAAACATATAAATAGCGATTCTATTTTCCCACTTAATTCTTCAAATTATAAAATCTTCCTTCGATTCAACTAGGTTTTCATTTTCTATAAAATTATATCATCAGCTGAACCTTCATCACAACAGACTGCTGCTACGGAAGCTGCCTCTGAGTCTCTACGGCAACACAATGTCTAGCTCTTGAGTCTGGAAAGGATAATGAGTCACTACTTAATTTCTTTTACAGAATTTTGCAACAAACCGGTAGATTAATAATGCAATGCGCTTAGATCATGGATTACTCAACCACTTATTCTTATTAGAGCAAATACTTCAAATACTACATCAATAGTAAACAATTCCCAAAGTATTGCGAATGGCTTCTACAGACTGGTTTCAAGAGGAAGCACGACCTCGTGTTCCCCGCAACAATCTTCAGGGTCGTGTGTTAATGCAAATTTCTTTTGTACAGAGGAACAAAAGCTTCTTTTGGTTTTGCAGCAGCAGCAGCAGCAAAAAGAAAAAAAAAAGAAAAAAATTTTTTTTTTTGATCACACCTGAACCTGAAGTACGTACCCAATACGTCTATAAAGTAAAGAACAAGCACATTTCTTTGCCCACCCTTCTGCAAACAAAGCACAGTTTATACATTTCAATACAACCTCACCACAAGCGACTGCCTGTCATTACATCAAACAACAACGTTGCACTTTTGTTTCCTCTGCATTTTGCACGCTGTCAGATTTTTGAGTGTTTACTTTTTTCTTTATTTTTTTTTTATTTTTCGTCTTGCACCGTACCATATACAACCTGCCACGTTTAGTTCATGGTTTAGCGGTCGTCCGTCGTTCTATTCAGTCATTTCTGCTTAGAATTTGGTTATAAAACACGTCATTTACAAAAGTTCTGATTGATTTTCATCCGATTCTTTTTGCTTTTTCTTTTTCTTTTTTGTTTTTTTTTTTTTTTTTTGCATACAACGTGGGGTTGATAATAATGAGCAAGCGCTTGTTTAGCATATCCTATCTCAATCTAAATTCGTCAACATTTTCAGTCAATAACTTGTTGAGTTATGTTCCTCGAGCACTTCCAAGGAAGAAGAAGTCTTTGTCAAAGTCGCAAAGTGGAAAGAGGGTCGTCGCTAGTGCTGACACGGCTGATGTTGCCACAAGTGAGGTTGAGGTTCATCAGCACTCACATTACAAAAGGTCTACCCATCCTACTTCTGTCCCGATTTCGAAATTGTTTAGCAATACGTTTCCATTAGGAGTAGCCGAGTCTATTGACCACTATAAACTACGCAATGACCCACTTCAATTTCAACATGATCTACTTTCAACATTACCGTTTTACCCAAATATGGATGCACTAGGTAGGACGTCGAACGTGTTGAAAGTACCCATCGACGACAAGGGAAATTACATTAATGAATTTGTAATTTACCCTGCTGGCAAAACCGAAGCTGACCTGGCGTCAATGAAGCATTTGGTAATGATTCATGGTTACGGTGCCGGTCTCGGGTTCTTTCTCAAGAACTTTGCTGCTATAGCTACACGCAATGATTGGTGTATACATGCGATTGACCTATTTGGATACGGTTGCAGCTCAAGACCACATTTCCACCCACAAAATGTTGAACAAGTTGAAAAATGGTTTTTTGACTCTTACGAAGCTTGGTTTGCTCAAAAAAATATTGAAAAGTCAAATATGTTGGTAATGGCACATTCTATGGGTGCTTATTTGATGGCATGCTATGGCATTGCTCGAGATCCTCATTTTTGCAAAAAAATAATCATGGCTTCACCGGGGGCTATTATTAGACATAAGCGTCAAATTCCAGTTCCAGGATACTTTAAACGTCTTTGGGAAAGAAACATATCACCATTCACATTGGTTCGTAAAGCTGGTCCTTTGGGTTCGAAGGTGGTTAGTGGATGGTCCTCGAGAAGATTTGCAAAGTTGCCCAAAACAGAAGCTCATTTATTACACAAATATTCCTACGGAATCTTTCAAGCTAGAGGGTCAGGCGAGTACATGCTAAATTTCTTGCTTGCGCCAGGCGCTGACGCAAGATTTCCTTTGATTGAAAAGGGAATAGACAAGCTAAAATGTGATATGACATGGTGGTATGGCGATGGCGATTGGATGGATAAGGCCGGTGGCCAGCTGTGCAGTGACATAATTAACAACCTGGCAGCTGCTGAAGGTAGTTCGCAGTATAGCGATGTCAAAATAATCAAAAACAGTGGGCACCATGTGTATCTCGACAATATTGAGCAATTCAATAATGCAGTTTTAGAAGAGATGGATAAATTTTAATAAATTAATACTTTCAAAAAAAAAAAAAAAAAAAACGCTCGAGGGGCCTATGCATGTATATTAAACTCTGGATCTTCATCCTCTCCTTCCAAGTGAATGATTATTCTTAGCGATATGGGTAAGTTTGGATCGGTAATGACTATTTCTTCTCCTGTATGAACCAAATCTCTCATTTTTTTGCTCAAGTTACCCTTGGTAGCTTCCTCCAATGCAGGAGGGCTTGACATGTAAAGATACTTGTCACCACCAGTCAAGCTGGGGTTTGTCATTTGAATTTCTTGCTTGGATTTGATTTCGTGAATAAATTGCTGTAGTGTCCACCACTTTTGAACAGCGACAGTTTTGGCAATGGTTCCACATACGGCGCAATTTTGTTTCCTTGTGTATGAGTATGTGTAGGTGAATATGGAATCATCTCCTGAATACATCATGTAGTTGTCCAAAATCGGATTTACGTTGGTGATAATTTTGAAAACTTCGTTGCAACAACTGGCAGCAATAATGGCGTTTGTGGATGCAATTGCTGGTATTATATTCTTGACAACACCCAACGTTAAGCTTTTTGTCACTCCGTCAATGCCAAACTCTGCTGCCCGAGTCCTTGCAGTCTGGTACATCCACTCGACTTGGTCAGGGTCATCAGCATCAAATTTTTTTCCCGGAAACTGCTTATTCCATTCCAATTGACTTGCCCACTCAATGCAATGCTCGGGTACCCGAGGTGTATTTGCAATTGTACATACTGGGTAAGCTACCTGTGTGCTAAGCAAATCCAAAGAGCACTCAAAACACGAAGTCAATGTCGGTATTATCACCCTGCTTTGCCCACGAAATCCTTCAGTACCCCCATCCACCAAGGGGATGATCAAGTTTTGATCTTGTGCCAACCCGTATAATGTCGAGTTGATCCACCTTCTTGCTTCAATTGAGTCTAGTCCGCTAATAATAACCTGAAAACTTCGATAAAAATCTAGATTCATATCCTGAATCTTTTGGAAATGAGGCGTTATTTTCAAGTCAGGGTTGCCAATCCTTTCGAGGATATACTTTGTAGCAACCTCAGCTTTGCTCTTGCCAATGTCGGCATGACGAAAAAGAAACTGACGATTCAAGTTGCTCAAATCAATAGTATCCATATCTATAATATGTATATCCTTGAAACCAGTCATGGATAAGTTCTTGAGAATTTCACAGCCTAAACCTCCAGCTCCAATAACGAGAATTTTACTCGACTCAAGTGCTTCGAACGAGTCTTTTGGGGAATAAATATCCAGATATTCATTGAAAGGGCCCGTGTTGGCAACAAGTGACTGAATTGATGATAAGTCCCTCATTTAGCTATGATTTGTGATATTAGGAAAGGGCAAAATTCATTGCAAAAACAGTTTCGCTTTTATTTTTTTTTTTTTATTTTCTTTTTGATGCGCGATAATTCGTTAGCAAAGGCCATGCAATGTATATCTAAATCTACGTCTACCGAAAAATCTTTATCTATTTTCTACTATAGGTGGCTCTTCTCCATGTAGTCGTCTTGGAGGTCTCATAGGAGGAACTCCAATTCTTTTCCCAAAGTTGTTGTTCAAGTGGTTTGTGGACGGCTTGGTCACTCTATTATGCAAATGATTTACCCCAAGTGGAGGTGTTTTACCCTTTATTTCTGCTCTTTTCACAGGCACCGATTTGGTAGGATCAAGTGTGCGTTCAATATTGGGCGAAACAAACGTGGTGTCAAATTGCGGTATTTCTTCACTTTTGCCATCTTGTTTCAACTGTAAAAGGGCAGCATTCTTCGCCGCTACAAATGCTGGGAAATGGTTCTGCTCTTCTTCTTGACCCTTTTTCTCCGAGGAATCGGTTTGTGTTGATGTATTTACCATGAGTTCATGTTCTTCTTCTGCACCATCATCGCTAAAGTGGAACGACTCATCAATATCATCCGCTTCCTTTCCCTTATTCATATGCTGTACCACCTTTGAAGGCAGCCTTGGGGTTATGAATGCCTCTCCAGGTGCTTGCAACCTTTCTTGTTCACGTCTTGCCTCGTGCTCCCTCTCCTCTTGTTCCCTTTGCTCCATCATTTGCTTCTTCCGTTCTCTCTCTGCATAGATAGGATCACGATGAAAATCATCTGGCTCATACTCAATACTGCTCTTTTCTAATTTGCGTATCTGGTTGACTATTGTCTTATCGTACAAGCAATTACCCAATACGTTACCAAAACAACGCAAACACCGCTTAATTCCATCCGTGTACGCCTCCTTTTTACACTTTTCAAACGCCTGTGACTTGCTTCTAGCGTTGTCGAAGAACCCATACCCTATGTCTTCGTGAAACGTGCCGTCCTTGAGAGTCACCCTAACAACAACAGAAAGACCCAACGAGCACCTACCAGTGTTTCCATGCGTGTCTAGGTAATCTATTTCACAAGACACTACTTCAGAATTCCACCCATTGAATCCAAAAACTTCATTTGCCAAGTTGAGTGCCTTCCACCCCTCTATGTACTGGACCGTAGTTCCACCGCCCGCTGTTCGCTCACTGACATATTCTGGACCCAAGGCTTTATTGAGTTTAGTTTGGATCTCAAGTGTTTCCTGTTCGGTGAACTGCCGAAACTGTTGCGGCTGGGAACGCTCCTTTACGTGTTGCAACGGTGGCTTCGTCGGTCTTCGTGGCTGGTGGTTTCCATTCAGTGAGCTCATGTGGTGTGAATATGTATTGTTGCGATGGTAACGTGTCTCTCTAGTGAGCCAGACGTGTTGCTAAAAAAGAAAAAAAAAAAAAAAAGAGTTGAGCTTTTAGATTTTTCTTTCCCTCTCTCTCTCTTTCTGAAGCTTATCATACAATCCAAAAAGAAAAGATACTGTGACACCAGAACGATCTAAAATGGTAATATGAGCGATGGGCTTGGGCTGTCTGATAATCAAGTGAAGCTGTTTATAGTGGTTCTACATCTATCAAGTGATGCATTGTCGGCGATAGAGCTATCTCGCATTAAGGTCAAGTCGCCTACAAAGAAACAACTTGCAGTGAGCAAAAGAGCCGAACAAGTGAGCAACTACAAGGTCCAGATTACCCAGGAGAGTAGAAACAGACGTTTCTTGAGCCGTCAAAGACAAAACGAGTTGTCGTCAGCTGTAAAGAAGCTAAACTTTGATACAGAAAAGAAGGTGAGATTTTCGTTAAAGTAAAGACGGGACGTGGCATTTTCCTATACATCTAGACTTGAAATTAGGGTAATGTTTTCTCCTTTCAATAGTAACTTCCCAAGCGGTGTTTTTTTCCCATTGGTTATCTCCTCTGCTTCATCAATAACAAGATTCATATACTCGTCAAACCCTTGGATCTTACCCTGAATTCGCAGGTCTGATTTTTCAAATAACCATATCGTGACAGGACTTTGTTGTTGTAGGAATTTGAATATTAGATTGATTGGGGGTAAGTTGGTTTTGGAGACGGATTTTGATGACATTGGAGGGTGTAAGTGGATGACTAGTATAACGATGGCTTTAATTCTATTCTTCTGTCTCACACTCTTCTGTCTTTTTCTGTTTTTTTTTTGTTTTTTTTTTCTTGTATTGACATTTCTACGCGCTTCAATTCCTAATAAATGCCAGATCAACTATCCAACAAATGTCAGACGAAGCACCTGAGGATTTCAAGCAGTACATTGTTCAATGGATAGAGGCTGATGCGATTGAAGCAACCAAAAATGGCTCAAAAATGGCCATCCTCTACAACAAGATGCTTGCGCAGATACGACGCACACTGGAGCCAATCACGGATACCAAATCCCTAAAACAGATCAGGTATGTGGGAGTGAAAACAGCTGTGGTGTTGAGCAATAGGGTGTTGCAACTTTGTAAAGCAAATGGATGGGAACCGCCTGTTGGATTCATGGACGAAGCTGAAGCCCACAGACGTGCTTCCAAAAAAGTGGATCAGGTGGGAGAAGAAGAGGATGATTCGTCGGCGCGGCCAGCAAAACGTGCACGGACTGCCAGTAGTTATGTTCCGAAGCAGAGGTCTGGAGCGTTTGCGATTATGGTGGCCTTATATTTGAAAGATCGTGAAGGGCGAGGTATGACTAGGGAACAAATTTCACAACATGCGGCACCGCATTGTGACAAAGCTTTCACAACTTCAACCACTTCAATGTATTCTGCATGGGACTCCATGAATACTTTGATAAGAAAGGAATTGGTGTATGTCACTGGGAGGTCACCAAAGATGTATTACTTGACTGATGAAGGTAAGGAATTGGCGTCAAAGTTGAAAACCGCTGTGAATATCGAATCCTCTCCAATGCAACCAAACACCGTTGCCAATAGTTCCTTCGACAATGGAGTAAGATTCGAGCCAAGCTTTGAGAAATCATCCCCCACTTTAAGAAGAAACGCCGATTTAAGTTCGTCTCGCCAATCATCCTTTAGACTACTTAACCCGGCTCACAACTCAAGACTAGTTTCAGAGGTGTTATCTTCCACAAATAGCTTTGCTCATGATTCTCAAAATAGAGTGTACGATGGTACTCCATACGAAATATGGACCAAGGATGAATACGAGGTGGTTGTATATGTTGACAATAGAGAAATTAGAGGTCAACAAGAGCGAAACTTTTTCCCAAGACAACTCGAACTTGCCAATCACAAATGTGATGTCAAAGCCTTGTCTTGTGGGGATATCACTTGGGTTGCAAGGCACTTGCGCACAGGGCGAGAAGCTGTGTTGAACTACCTTTGTGAAAGAAAAAGGATCGATGACTTGTGTGACTCCATTAAAGACGGCAGGTTCCAAGAGCAAAAGAATAGAATGAAAAAATCGGGAATGATGCATTGTTTCTATCTAGTGGAGGAAGTGAGTATGGTGAAGGAGCGTGTTTACACTATCATGGACTCCATACAGACTGGTATTGCTCAAACAATGACAAATGCGCGACTATATCTACGAAGGTTCAAGGACATTGACGAGACTGCTGACTTTCTTTCGTCTCTCACCAATGTGATAAAAGATAGACATGCTCACAGAAGCTTGGTAGTGCTTCGGCCCAGAGACATTTGCAACCAGGATCACTACAACGAATTGCTTATAAAATTTCGGGGAAAGTTCGAGACAAGGGTAAATTACGAATGCTGTCACTTATTTTCAAGCTTTCAAGAAATGATGGGGAAAACAACGCAAATGACAGTGAAGGAATTGTTCATATTGATGTTGATGACAATCAAGGGATGCTCTTTGGAGAAAGCTATTGTCATACAGAATCGGTTTCCAACGCCAAAGAAGTTGCTTGAATTTTACCACCACCAACATGTACATGCCCCCTTGGAGACCAAAAAGCAGTTGATGGTGGACGAGTTCAAAACGCAAGTTGGTAACAAAAAAATAGGGAAAGTGTTACTGGAGAAAATCTACGATGTATGGGGGGCATAGGTTGAGTAGCATAATCGTAATCGTAAAATCTCTTCTACTCTCTGTGGTAGCGACTGGCGCAGAATCAATCACCTAAAAAAATAAAAATTAAAAAAAAAAAAAAAAAAAAAAAACATAAAAAAAAATTTACTTAAACCATAAATTTTTCACGAAGTAGATCCGTTAACTACACAATGGGTAAAGGAGTATTAAAGTATGGTGGAAAGTCGGGTATTCTTCCCAGGACAAAGGCTATCTTTGGCAGACCGATCCGTCCTATGAACGAAATCGAATTACAAAAAGAGAAAGCCACGGAGAGTGGATACGCAGAAGGTGTGCCAACGCCAAAGATAAATGGAAAACATCTCCCACGTCAGCAACCCCCAAGAAAGTATATCACCGTTGAGGACAGAATTAAGCATATCAAGTACCCACCAATGTCGTTACGAGAAATGAACGACTTACCAGCTGAGGAGAGAGACGCTTACAAAAGAGCCTATTACCGAGCCGAATTTTTGAAAGAGGCCTATTTAGAAGAGGAAAAAAGGTTAAAGAAGATAGACGAGCTCAAAAGGAGTGTACATGAGAAAGAGTTGGCAAAGCAGCGCCAATTCGAAGAAGAACGTAAGGCTGATTCCTCCAAGATTGCATCGTTACCAACCATGCAAAAGATTTTGGAGCAAGGTTTGATTAGAAAGAGGACACCAGAAGAGCAAGAGTTGTTGAAGGAGCAACGCAAATTGAACCGTCGCTCTAAGGAGCTACACGAGAAAGAAGTCAAGGCACAGAAATTACTCGAGTTGTATCACTCAGCCGCCAAATTTATCACAACCGAGGAGCAGTTGGAAGAGGCCATCTATAGGGCGTTTGAAGTTGATGTCGGCAAGTTTGACAGTGCTCAAACAAGTGTAGAAACAAAGTTGTTTTCGAGAGGAGCTGGATACTTGGTTGGTGAAGTAAATGAGTTGAAGATTACTGATGCCGTTTTGGGACAAATTAATGGAAAACCTGGTTTGGAACAAATCAAGGACGTGTTGAGTGGAACTAGAGAAAAAACGAAAAGGGAGGCTCAATTGAACTTGAGCAATGAGATATAGGGTTTGTAATTTTGTATATATATATATATGTATAGGGTGCGGGATTGCCTCGCGACTAGAAAATTTTACACCGAAAAAATGAAAACAGAAAATCTTCACCAAAGGAACATCAAAAGACAAGGTTCACCAAATGGCATACACACCGCCCCAAGACATAAACGAGTATCATCGCATATTTTCCAAAGTTTTCAACAAACGACTAAAATATGTGCTCAATGTCAATATAATCTTGTCAATCTTGATGACAATTGTTTTAGATCTACCATTTCACCGATTGCTATCGTTGCGGTTCCTTTTATCAATTGTTCTCAAAGTACCCGTTTATTTCTTAGCTTTGACTTTGATTAGACAAGCACGGGTTAGATTTTCCACTGTTAATTACTCGAATCAAAAGACGCTAGGGTTACAAATTTACCACTCATTATTATCAAACCAGTATCTTGAAGTGACATCATTCCACATCTTGTCGGCATTATTTGTCTATGGTGTATTCATCTTCAATTTACCATTCACTTTTGATTTTTATTTGATTTCAAAAGAATACAGAAAGAGCCCCTTGTTGAATGATGAGTGGGTCTACTATTGGGTGTGTCCATTTATTGTGGGAGCATTGTACTCGGCCAACCAACTTGTGTTCCAAAGGAATAGGATCCCTTTTGAATATGGACATAACAGGAATAGTCCGCAAAGTTCTTTGTTTGCACATTTACCACAAGCCTTGGGAAATGCTTTGGGGTTGACCATATTGATATCAATAGCTAGTCCTGCTTTATATTGGGGATGTAAATCTTACTTGTACAGATCGTTGATCGTGCTCCGATTATTTGGCCTTGACAACTCGTTACCAGAAGGAAGCACGACCTTGTACACGTACCTCAAGTTGGCATTTCTCACATATGTGTTGGTTTTGAACTGGGAACTCGAGAATCACCTATTCAGAGTTTACGCGACAATTGGATGTCTTGATGGTAAAAAGCCAATATCTTCGTACAGCAAGGATCCTTTGAATTGCTTGTTGAAGGGTTTACGTGATGTGGCGCCAAGTCACGAACTAAGTAGATTGACTGCATTTCAAGAATTGGCCTATATTGCAACCACCAGTGAAAAGGAAGGGTTGCGGTTGCGATTGGCAATATTCAGCGCAAGGTCAAAGAAGGAAAAATTATGGCCAGCATTGTACGAAGAATGTTCATTGGTTATTCGGGAGGTTAACGGGCAAATCAACAAGAGGAGCACGCGTGATATGAAAGCTTTAATAAGCTGGGAAAAGGATGTTGACACTGGCTTTAAAAGGAGAAAGGACGACAATATCTTTGGCAATTCATTTACAAGCTCTTTGTTGGATGAGGGGGGAAAGAGTGCAACTAATAGCAAAGCTACAAGTGAGAGTAACTGGGTAGGCTATGTGCGCAGTGAGGTTATAGCTCCAGTAGTGAAGGTCATCTCGCCATATTTGCCGCAACATGTGTCGAGTTATTTCACGTCTCTGTTAACATCGTTCAAGACCAAGGAGGGTCAAAAAATTGACGCTGTGGCATCCGAGTTTAGAAAGCAGTTTTTGGAGTCGGTATTCGGAGTCTTGTTTCGTGTAACATTAAAAAGAGACTGCGAGTCAAGGGTGAGAAACCCCGCCAATTTTGGAAATGCAGTCATTGCTGTATCCAATATTATTCAGCGCTCAGTTGTGGAGGATTCATTAAATGTTGTCACGTCGGCTGATATAGGTAGTACGCTCAATCTTCTTGAAAAGTCCATCCGCATTTCGACCAATTATACTGATCAATTACCTGCTTCGGTATTTGTTGGATCAAGCAAATCAAAATTTCACTTGATCTCGGACTTGAATAATCTCGAATACCACGAATTCTACAATACATGCATACAGTTTAGCGGTTTATTGAACGAGCTCAATTTAAGTCCCAAAGCGTCCGAGCTTGCAAAATGGGTCATTGATATCGCCATTGCTGAAAAAGAGCAGCATCTGAATAGGAGTGTCTATTAGCTTCTACAAAATAAATATGTATTCAATCTCTTCTACCCCCACTCAAGTTTGTACTACTATTGTTTGCACTGGACTGGATACCAGGTACCGTGTCTAATAAAACCGGCTTTAGAACCTCCTCATCAAATCTGGTGAACCACCTGGCGTGCTCTTCGGCACTGAGAATAGCACCTAGCACCCCTCTATCAACGTTTGTGCTTGTGTTACCAAGTGTTGGTGACGCTAAAGTGTCTGATCTGAACTCGTCAACATCACTGCCAATCAATTCCTCTTCGTCATCGCCGCCATTGACTATATTCGAGTTTGATTCATTGTCAAGTAGATTAACTGCTGAGGAGTTGTTTGAAGTGCTATCTCTGAATGGCGCAACTTTCGATTGCGACTTCATAAACCTTCTATTTCCTAAAATGTTCTGTTGTGAAGTGAAATTTGACTGCAGCGGGAGTCTTGGTGCCTCAATGTCGAACTCGTCATCTGAATCTGCTGCTTCATCAATGCAGCCCGTTTTGATACCCAAAATCTCCAACATCGAAGCCGTTGTACCTCCAAATAAAATGACTGTGAGTACAACAACCACCAACACGGTGGCAAGTAAGGTCCATTTTCCATCGCCGCCAAAACCCATAGCCAAGGCAACGCCAACTGCTCCTCTCAACCCAGCCCAGAAGATCATCATTTGGTAAGAATGGCTAATCTCGTCCGGCACATTCAACGACAAGCTTCCATTGGAGTTTATGTTTGAGATACCACTGTATTTCTCAAGTCTTGCGCGGTATAGGAAGTTGAGGAACCTTGATAATGGAAACACTGCTGACCACCTTGCAACGCAGATGGATATAAATGCCACAATAATCAACAATGGCTTAAAAACAAGCTCAACTTCGGTAAATAAAGACAATCCAAGGTAAATAAATATGAAATTTTCTGATAATTGGGCTAGCAATTGGAAAATGTATTTTGTTGCAATTTGTGTACGTCTTGACATGTTGTAGTAAGCATAATGTTTCAATGTGATACCACAGAATAGCAACGAGACGATACCTGACATGTGAGCTCCGTTTGAGAAAAAATATGACTGGTAGGCGAACAACAACACCAAACACGTTTCAATCTGAGGGTACCTCCGCACATGCGAATGCTTTAAAATCAATGCTACTAGTATACCAATTGCCATCCCAATGATGGTTGAGATGGTAAAAGTCATCAAGAACAAGCCAATACCTTCAAAAAAAGAAGAAAACTTGACAGGCTGGCCATGAAATTTTTGACAAGTTTCAAACATGACAATGGATATAGCATCGTTTAATAAAGATTCACCAAAAATAATGGTGTACAACTTTGGATCAACTTTGTAAGCGTTGAAAATGGATAAAATGGTTACTGGATCGGTGGCGGATAATGTAGCCCCCACAGCCAAAGCGTCGACAAATTCCAATTTCACTCCATCCAACCCAATTGCAGTCCATATGTACACAATCACCCCTACAACCATTGCTGAAATGAACGTTCCCGGTATGGCAAATGTCAATATACTTCCGATATTTCTGAAAAAATTGGCCTGATGTAGTTCGTACCCACTGTTTAAAATGATGGGGGGCAACAAAATATTGAAAAAGTATCCTGGGTTGAACTTGACTGCATCTTGTATGTAATGCCCGGGACTGAGTCTAATGATTAATCCCACAATCATACCACAAAAGATGGACAACACTGTCTCATGGATGGCTTTTATTCTTCTCTGCTGTAAAAAGTATGACGACCATAGTGCCAACATCAACAATAACAACAAGATAAACAAAGCCCACGATGAGAAAATTTCATTTTCAACTGGGTTTGAATCTTCCAACGGGTCGTCTCCAACTGCGGGTGTATCTGGCGAGTCGTCTAAATCATCCGACGCAGCTCGTTTGACTAGTTGCTTAAACGCATATAAGGCTAGACCTGTCATGTGTCATGTGAGTTACGGTCGATGGGTATATACTAGTTTGTATCAATTGAGTTTACGATTGTATTTGAATGCGTTGAAATTATCTGTGATTGTATTTTGTTTGTCAGAGGTTCACAAAAAAAAGAGAGTAAGGGAGGGGAGCAGAAGCAGGGGCAAAAGCAGGAGCAGGGGGGGGCAGCTTGAGACGCGGTTCACTCCACAAACGTAGGCGCAAGGTTAGCTACACTATCTTGGAGTAGGTGACTTTATTAATATGAAGTAATGAGTATAATACATATGATATTGTTGAGTGCAATAGGTGGCATGGACTGTGGTAGTGCGTGTGCACAATTTGATACCCGGTGATAAATATTTTAGCAGGTGAACAGGAGGAAATAAAGAAAGCAACAGTTGTGTACTGTGACGAATACGGATTTATTATAGTTTCTACTTGAGTTTGCATTTGAATAATTGTGTGATCGTCGAGTCCTATGACGGTGGCCATTAAAGGTGGTGCTAGGCTCCTTATACACCACCCCATTTAGGGACCGTTCAGGAACGCTGTGGTTGCGTCTATTTGGTGGATAAAAACTTGTTAAACACAGTCCCAATTAAAACCTTGGCATGCCCAGATGCATTATCTCGGATCACGGTTGAGATGAGTGAGTGTAATTTAGTTATCCACTTTATCATCTCTCGTGTATCACAGCGAGTAATGAGCTCTTCTTACTCATAACACTCCAGACTATACTTTATTGATAGTCAATTGCAAGTGAGTTCGATTTGCAAATGCTTTTAACAATCTGGGAATGTCATGCTCGTAATAAGGCTCGACTTTGTCTACCAATCTGTCCGAGGAACTTTATTAGTTTAGTACATTAGATGCATCCAACAATCTTTATGTGCTTGTTGATACGGCAATTGGAATACGGCTATTCCTTTCATCGTGTGGCTAGCTCTTCATGAATGACTGTTGATTATGTGCCTCAAAATCAACAGGTTCAAAATGAAAAAAAAAAAAAAGGATTAGTGGGGTGCTATGAAATACTCCCTGCTGCTTCTTCTGTTCCTGTGTCCGTCGCAAGTCGGTACAGGGAATGATGGATAAGTTTGTTCTTGATTGCTCCTCTTTCAGTATCAGCGCAGTCAATTATGATCATCTTGGGCAAAGATAATGTTGAAAGGGTTTCTTCCAAGCAACGTCTTAACCTTTCATTAAACGTGTGCGGGATTTTGGAATCTCAACCGTAAGGTGGCTTGTTTCCAGTGGAATTGTTGTATACTTGGCTAGTGGTTGATTAGCTAGCCCATGTTCACCCACGTATTCTTTTACGGGGTGCTATGTGTTGGCGTCAATTTGGCTGACATTGCAACCCATTGGTGTTGCAGCTTACTGAAAATTGTTAAAACATAAAAAATACGTTAAAAATTGTCTTGTAAATGACTTTTCAACAATTGTAGAGTCACTTCTTTATGACTGGTGGTCGTACCTGTGCATCTCAATTAGCTACTGTGATGTTAGATATGTGGGCTAGAGTCTGTTGCTGTATTCTCTTGAAATCTTTGCCACCTCTTGTGACAACAGAAGCCTTCAGGGGCTGTCATTGATACTATTCACATATTGTTTATGTAATAGTTAGTATTGTATTAGGTATTGCATATGGTAGTGCCAAATCCTTTTGAAGTGTCTGTCTGTCTGTCTGTGGTGCAATAAAGAATAGACACCACAAAAATAAAATTCTTCTTTGTCATCGTGCACGCACTACCCACCCACCCCTCCCCTCCTCCTTATTGAAAATCTTTTGAAATCTCATTTCTTGTCTTTATTTTGTTTGTTTGTTTGTTTTGTATTCGAGAAAAGACATAGATCTAAATCTTTTAGTCTTTACTGTGAACCTCATACTCACACAACCCTTATTCGATGTATAAACAGAATATATATCTCAATAACGATGGACAATCTTCAACAGACAGTATAGCACATTCGAGTTACGCGCCATCACCGCCTCAATCCAACTCACCGCAGCAAAACACAACAACAACAGCACCATCGTCACCAAAGAGGAAACTCAACCAACACTTGAAACATCATCGGATCAACAACTTCTATTCTTCGTCTCAAATCAATCCAAACTACTCGTCAACAAACTTGTCCAAGATACAGCACCACAACAATCATGGATCTCCACCCACGTTTTACTCCAATTTCAATGAATCAACAACCTCAATTGGTTCTGGTCAGTACCAGTTGGGCACACCGCCGGTATTAGGTTCACATAACTCCTCGTACACTTCGATCAAGAGCTTGTTGCCGATGACACCACCAGCTTCAGAAACAACGTCGCCAGAACCCAAGTACTTTGACCTGAAAAGGTCTCTGCCACAAGGCAGGAGCTTGGGACTGGTGTTGCAAAAGGTCAAATCGTTGATACCGCCTATAAACTACACCATCTGTTCATTATGTTTTATCTGGTATTTCTTCTCCATTATTTCGTCCAACTCGATCAAGTTGATTTTAACAAAGTACAGATACCCAGTTACAGTCACGCAATTACAATTCCTCATGAATGCAGGGTTGAGTTTGGTTTTGTTGTTTATTTCCAAGCACTACACCAATGAAAGAATTATTCCTTCGAGTATACTCCCACCCAATAGGTCCATAAGGCAGTTTGTCATACCGACAAAATTGATTCTTTCCACCACTGTGCCGATGGGATGTTTCCAATTTGTTGGTCACTTGACCAGTCACAAGGCAACTTCGGATATACCAGTGTCGCTTGTGCATACCATCAAAGCGTTGAGTCCATTGGTGACTGTGCTTGTGTATCGTTTCATTTTTAACAGGCGCTATAAATTGAGAACCTACTTGACCTTGATTCCACTTAGTGTTGGGATTATGATGACTTGTTACAAACTGAAAAAGAAGTCAATTCCAAGCACAACAGGGCAGGTTTCACCTCCAGCGAACAATAGCTACCTGACTGGACTCATTTTTGCCTTTATATCCATGTTGATTTTTGTCAGTCAAAATATGTTTGCAAAGAGTAAACTAACACCCAATACTGTAACACCACAAGAATCAAAATCAATTCCAATTTCAAAAACTGGACCAAAGAAGTTGGACAATTTGACCATCATCTTCTATTGCTCAATAGTGGGGTTCCTATTCACGTGCCCAATCTACATCACCTCCGAATTCTTCAACAATACCTTCTCGTTGGCACAGTTGGACTCTACAATATTACTGTTGGTTGTTATAAACGGGTTGGGTCATTTTATACAAACCGTTATTGCATTTCAAATCTTGGGACTTTTATCGCCAATTGATTACTCAATTGCAAACATTTTGAAAAGAATATTTATTATACTAATGTCGTTCTTTTGGGAAGCAAAAAATTTTACTCCGTTGCAAACGGCGGGATTATTCACTACCTTGGTTGGATTGTATAGTTACGATAGGTGGGGAACTCAGCGTTGATAAGAACAGAAAAGTAGCCGATTATAGTCTATCTTTTTTTTTCTTTTTGTTTTTTTCTTCTTTTTTTCTCTTAATGTCCAGTTCCTTCAGTGTTTAACAATCTCTTGAAAATATCACCAAAGGCAACCATAAACACAGTCTGCCATACACCCAATCCAATTCTTGGTGTAACGCCTCTATACAACCCCTTGACACCGTTGTTTTGGTATATATATTTAGCAGCACCCCAAACGCTCAAATTCTTTGGTCTGTTTGGATCATTGGTTTTACTTTGCATTTCAACTCTAATAACTTCAATTGGTTGATTCCAAGCACTCAACCCACCACCAACAACACTACTTGCGATCTTTTCAACATTGGACAATTTTTGATTTTCACTCTTGCCAGTCAATTTTCTAATTCCGTCTTCGGCCAACCTCGAAAATCCAAAACGGGAGCCCCAATTGGTCATTTGACGAATTGCAACGGCATTAACACCCTTGTTGATACCCCTAATACCCTCTCTTTTGTAAATATCTTTAAACACTTGGAAACTGGTTTGTTGTGGTGCACCACTAACGGCTGCTTGTTTGGCTCTAGTGATTTCAACAGTCTTCATACACGTACAGAACCCCATTGTCAAGTAAGCTTGCGCCAAACCACCAGCAATACCACCACCCATTCCACTGACAAAAGAACTGAATCCCAACGTCTTGAACCGGTATTCAGCTTCAGCGGAGACAAACAACAACACGGCACCTTTGGTACTGGCCTCAATCCAAGCCCATGGGATTAAACCTTGATAGAATCCCAAGACTCCACCACGACTCCAAACGAGTCTAGCAGCTTGGGCCATGGTTAAGGATCTGTTGGCAGCCATGGTGGTCTTGATGACTTCTAAAGGTTGGCCCAAGGTTGTGACCTCAGACATGTTCAAACCCGCACCTAGAAGGATATTGGAGAAACTAATTGGTTTCTTTTCGATCTTGTTTGTGGAGGCCATTGCGTGGAGGGGAACTTCCAGATGTTGAAGTGGAAACAAACGTTGATGAAAAAAAAATTAAAAAAAAAAAAAACAATTTATGCGAAGTTTGGGGAAGTAGAAAAAAAAAATAAAAAAAATTATTGGAGCGATATCGGTGTGGAACGGGTAAGAGGAGAGGAATGCAGAACCAACGATGGACAGTGATGGAAAAAATGGTGTTGTTGCTGTAGCGAGCTCTTTCTGGCATCTTGAGGTGGTTTCTAGTTCTCATCTGAAAGGCGACTCTAAGAAGGAGTGAGCCCAAGTCACAGGTAAAATTCTACTATAGAATCTTGAAAAGACTCAAGAGCCGTGATGAAGCGCCTCGCCCTTCTCAATCATCTTCAAGATGAATTGATAAGCTAGTTCTCAATCGCCTGAGTCTTGTTCTTGATACTCGCAACTGTAACTTCTTCCCCTCTTTTGCGTGTCGCAGGTATTTCGTCGCAGATATTTTTTTTTCGACAAGTGGCTTAGTTGTGTGATCATGCGACGCAACAGAAATTATTACCTTCCGTCAACTTTCCTTCTTTTTGATAGCATAACAAATAAATCAATCATGGGTATTAAAAAGATGTTTATGAAGAAAGATCCCACGGAGGAAGAACTCCGTGAGGATTTGAATAGGGTTGGTATCAGTACAAAGTCGGGGAACACAAGAGAAGAAAAATTTGGTGCATTCAAAAACTACGCCCAAGAAAGAGCTCAAATGAGACCGGCTATGGCCCCCAGTAATCCATATGCAAAGTTGCAGAACAACGATCCTCCAAAGAATCCATATGCTAGTGGAAGTAGCTCACCCGGGTCGTCAGTGACACCGCAAGCGGGCAATGGTGCGGGTTCATCATCCCCATATCTGACTCCAGTCTCTAGGGGTGGTGCCGCCTCCAATCCGTACGGAAGTTCGACTCGTTACGGGCAATCACAATCTTCAGACCCATATGCTGCACCAAGCAGACGACAGCAGGCGCAGTCTAGTGGAAGAGACTCATATAGTCGACCAACATCTAGACTGTCAACGGGAGGTACAGCAGCAGTATCGCAGGGACGTGGTCCAGCAGGTGCATCAGGCGGAGAGCCTTTAGCAAGGGTAAGCAGGGTGTCAACTAGACAGTCGACTGCAGATACAGAATCACTTGATTTGAATGCAATTTCATCCCATCAAATGTTTCACAATAGCAAGCCAGTGAAGAAGCAAGCTTTTGATTCAGAGGAGTTGGATTTGAATGAGGAGTTCAATGAGGAGGAGGATTTAGATTTGAACTTGGATATTCCAGAGGAGGGGGAGCAGGTGAATTCAGAAGATGAGGAAGTTGAAGCTATAAAGCAGGATATTAGATTTGTTAAACAAGAGTCGGTCCAATCGACAAGAAATACGCTTCGAATGGCCCAGGAAGCTGATGCTTCGGGTACCAATACTTTGGGAATGTTGGGTTCACAATCAGAGAGATTGTACAATGCTGAACAGAACTTGTTGTTGGCAGATACGCAAACACAAATTGCTGATGAGAAGGTTAAAGAATTGAGACGATTGAATCGATCCATATTCATTCCAGCTTATGGTAACCCTTTCAACAAAAAGTCGAGGTTGCGTCAACAGGAAGAAAACATCAAGAATCGTAAAATGCAAGAGAAGTATCTTCGTGAAACTAATCGTCAAAATATGTATGAAAGTGAGCAACGTTTGAAACAGGGCATCATGAACAATGCCACTGATAATGATGTACATCACAAGTATCAAAACGAAAAGTATCTACAACAAGCACAAAGGTATCAATTTGAAAACGATTCTGAAGATGATGAAGTTGAAAAGGAGATTGCTGGTAATTTGGATCAAATTGGGTCCTATGCGAAGAAGTTGCATGGGATTGCCAACACTATGGGTAAGGAAATTGATAGTCAAAATGTCAGATTGAGAAAGATTGAAGAGGATGCTGACAAATTGGATATCAATGTGCACATGAACAGTACTAGATTGAGTAATATTCGTTAGAGGCTTAATAGATTAATTGTGAGACGGCTAGAATTGTCTCACTTTAGAAAAATTTCTTTTTTTTTTTTTAATTTAATTAATAGTTTTCTATTGTTCTATTTTGATTTATTTAATTTTTTTTTTTTTCTTGGTCTTGCCTCAGTTGGGTTATGTATCTCTTTGTGGAGAGCAAAAAGTGGAGCGGGGGAGGGGACCATAATGACACGAGTATCTACTTTGATACCATATGTGACATTCTCTGGCTCAGATTTGTAACATGTGTAACAGTGTGTGACTTTTCCAGTGATGAAGAGTCTCTACAGAGCGATGTTTGACACCTGTCTTGCTCTCAGTACGACTGCGTAACTAAACTAAACTAAACATATGCACGATTGACTAAAATTTGGGGGAGGAGGTCGTGTGTGCCTGCCTGCGTGCGTGCGTGCGTGCGTGCGTGAAGACCTTACTCGATGCAACAGGGTAAACAGTTAAAGAACAGGATGGAAAAGATATAGCGGGTGTGGCCCAGAGCGGTATTATAAGCTCTGTATGGTGGTTCTGTCGATGAAAATAGGACATGTGCTGTGTTATTAGTTTCGGCGTTCAAAAAACATTTATCAAACGTATCGGAACCGTATTTACAATTAAACAAAAATTTCCCGAGGAACGAGCGCGAAAACGTACCACACCTTTTACTCAGGCTTATGATTTTGAGAAAACGTGTGCTACAACTCACTTTGCACAAGGGAATAGAACTTCAGTAACAAAAAAAAACCCTGTGTTCTCCTAACTCTCTCACTTTTGCCCTTTGTTGCTCCACGTTTCATCTTGTGGTAGTAGTGTACACGCGGTTAACAATTTACCCAATGAGGGCAATGAGATAAAAAAAAAAAAAAGAACCTAAAATTTTCCCTTTCGTTTGTTGTTCCTTTTTCTGCAATGCAAAATTTCTTTTTCTGAAAAGGAAGCAGAAAAAAAAAAAAAAAAAAAAAAAAATATTTCTTGGTGTTTTCTTGGGAAGATTAATGAGAATAGTGAGGTTGGACTAAGAAGGAGCATGATCATGGCGTGAATGTTTAAAGGCGTCAGCGATGTCGATTGTACGCTTAGTAAATGTGGAAGAGATGCACTATTTCTCACTCATTTCCCGCTTTTGTGGCTTTTTGAAATTTTTCCTTCTTTTTTAAAAAAAAAGAAACCCGTTTTCATCCAAACAATAGATGCCAATTCTCTCTGCCCATTTAAAATAATACATGTATATATGTCAACGCTCTTCTTGTATCTTTAAAATACCACAGTAATATCACCTTGTTCTTCAACCACATTTCACTCTTTTTGTTATCACACCATTTGATTCCACTCCATTTGACATTTCCTTATTTTTTTCTTTTACTTTTATTTTTTTTTCTTTTTTTTCTTTTTTTGCAATTAAAAGAAAATATCAAACCACGTTTGTTTGTTCATCAAAGAAAGAAAAATTTTGACTTTTCCATCGCCAAAAACGAGGCTCATTATAGATCACATTATAGACGTATAGACCTTTACCCTATTCAGAGCCAAAGCCATGTCCTCAGCTACAACTTCATATTCATCCAATTACGACACCAGCGCATCAACGACCAGAGTTGAGAAAAGGGGAAACGTCGCTAGTTTCAAAACTACTCCAGATGGTTACAAGACCAACTTGACTGCAATTGACACTTATGGTAACACTTTCCAAGTCCCAGATTACTCAATTAAGGACATCTTGTCAGCTATTCCGTCACACTGTTATGAACGTAGATTGTTGGAGTCTTTCTACTACGTGTTTAGAGACATCTTCATGATGGTCACTTTGGGCTACATTGCCAACAACTACATTGAATTGATCCCAAACCAGTTGGCAAGGTTTGCTGCTTGGACTGGATATGTTTGGTGCCAAGGTTTAATTGCCACTGGTATTTGGGTTCTTGCTCATGAGTGTGGACACCAAGCTTTTAGTGACTACGGATGGGTTAATGACTTGACCGGTTGGATTTTGCACTCATACTTGTTGGTTCCTTATTTCTCTTGGAAATTCAGTCACAGCAAGCACCACAAAGCTACTGGCCACTTGACCAGAGATATGGTTTTCATTCCAAAGAAAAAGGACGAGTTTTTGCAAAGCCGTGGAGTTGAAGACTTGGACGACTTGTTGGGTGACTCGCCAATGTTTTCCTTGTTGCAAATGGTTTTTCAACAAACTTTTGGGTGGATTGCTTACCTTTTTGCCAATGTCAGTGGACCAAAGTTTCAAGGAGCTTCTTGGATGCAGGTCAACCATTTCAATCCAAGCTCTTTGCTTTTTGACAAGAAAGATTACTACTACATTTTGTTGTCAGATGTTGGTATTTTGATTCAATGCACTATCCTCTACATGTGGTACAAGAACTTTGGTGGATTCAACTTTATGGTCAACTATTTCCTTCCTTATCTTTTGGTCAATCACTGGTTGGTTTTCATCACTTACTTGCAACATTCAGATCCACAAATGCCACATTATGAACCACATCAATGGACTTTTGCTCGTGGTGCTGCTGCTACTATTGACCGTGAATTTGGATTTGTTGGTAAGCACATCTTCCATGACATCATTGAAACTCACGTTTTGCACCACTATGTTTCTAGAATCCCATTCTACAATGCTAGGGAAGCAAGTGAAGCTATTAAAAAGGTTATGGGTATTCACTACCAACACTCTGATGAAAATATGTGGAAGAGTTTGTGGAAGTCAGCTAGATGGTGTCAATATGTTGATGGCAAAGACGGTGTCATGATGTACAGGAATGTCAATGGACTCGGAGTCGATCCAAAGAAAGAAAAATAGATAATTTTATATAAATAACCAAGTTTTAGTATTGGCTCTATACTTGATGTAGTCGGATCCAAAGATTTTAACAAGGTAATCTTCCTCGTACACGATTCTGTCTCGAAAGAACCGCCATAGTATTATCGACCCAACTGCTAGGACCAAGATGTTTCCTAGTAGCAACTCAAGCCCAATAAACCAAATGAAAAACCCAAAATAACTGGGATGACGAATGAACTTGTAGACTCCGGTCGTGACGAGTGTATGTGTCTCCTTCCCCGACTTTTGAATATAATGGTTGAATGATTCTTGAGCTGTGTGCATGCTCAATGTCCTTGTTAATTGGCCAAGTAGAGCCAACAAAAATCCCATAGGTTGGAGCGAAAGCCGAAACGGGGAGACCGCATACTCTATCACAGAAATTAAAGTAATCAAATGAAACTCTCTATCCTCTAAGATGAACGAATCGTCGTCTGTTTGGCTGTTGTTGTACAAATATGTCATGCCAAACTCAAGGCAGTGGAAAATGCAAAGGAATTGAAGATAGAGCCATAGTGGTATTGTTGTCGGGTATGTGAGTTCTCCAACTAGAGCACCAGTAAACACAGCCCCTAATAGGAACGACTTTGATGCAATCTTTACCAAGCTATTTTTCCTCGGGTCATACCTAGCAAACGGCGACTCCTTCTCTAGCATCTGCTCAAGGGTTCTATGTGGCTGATTCATAAAGATACAAAGCGCAATTGGAGTTTTTGTTTTTTTGTTTTTTTTCATTTTGTTCCTTTTTTTCCTTCAGCTAGTCATGGATTACTCCCCTTCTAGAGTGTCCCTACTTGAGGTGTTTTTTGTTTGCTTCACACTCGGGTCGCTATTTGTTGTTGACTTATGGGCTCTCTTCAACTCAAACTATGTTGCATTAGTGACGTTCTTTATAAACTTGAAGGTGTATTTTGTCACTGAATTTGTTAATTCGGCCTTCTATCAACCTCGCTCAGTCACATCCAAATCATTTTTGATATACGGTGGCAAAGGGACTCAAGAGTTTTGGTGGATGCGAATATTAACGGTTGTGGAGTTGTTGTTTAGGCCGTGGGGTCAGCATAGACTAGTCTCAATTGCTGGTGCTGCATTGGCCCTTGGTGGGTTGTGCATGCGTCACTTGGCAATGAAGCAGTGCAATGACTCCTTCAATCATTACATTGCCACAGTTAGAAAACCGCACCACAAATTGGTCACGTCTGGTGTTTATTCCATCCTGCGACACCCGAGCTATCTTGGTTTCTGGTTGTATGCAATTGGAACGCAATTGATGTTGAATACTTATCTCAATCTAGTTTTGGATATCGTCGTCCTCTACTACTTCTTTTCAAAGCGAATCGCGTACGAAGAATGGATGTTGGTCCACAAGTTCTACGGTCAAGAGTACATAGACTATCGAAAAAGGGTAGGTGTGTATATTCCTATAAGCTCTTGTTCATGAACTTTCTTTTTGTAAATGCCAACCAGAATTTACTAGGGACGTCTCCACCATCGGCGTAGATTCGATTCAACAATCTTTCGGCCAACTCTTGTCTAAACTGAGTCAAGTAACCTCTCAACAAATCCGCATCAGCTCTAGTCTTTGGTGGCAAGTACAATGAGTTCAATGGGAAGGATATATCTCCCGGTAAGGCAAAATTATCAAGACTCAAGTTGCTTAACACTCTGGTAGCTTCACGGTGTGGTATTGTTTTGTTGAGTTTGCCCAAGCAATCACTTACAAATAGAATACCATATATCAACAATCTATCAGCATTGCCTTTGATTTCAAAGTTTTTAAAGAAAGAGTTGGCTCTGAATAGGTCTAATGTCTCATCAACAATGTCATAATCTTGATCAGTTTCGAAAGTTGGTCCCCGAAACTTGGTTTTAAATGGGAGTAGGGATATGTTTCCTACGGTTCTGGTATCCTGCGTCTCGCCTAGGAATGTGGAGTGGTATGCTGGCATGATTGGAGAAGTGTTGTTGGTACTGCGAGGGTCAACGAGAATCGCCAGTTTGCTTTTCTGAGGGAGCAAAATCGGTAGCGCTTGGACCAGCAGAACTGGAGAAAGGGGTAAACAAAGAGTTGGGGTAGCTGTTAAAGACCTAGGACAGTTGTTGCAATAGAAAAAGAGCTGGATCACGGAGGGATATTCCTGCTTCATTTGAGTCAGTTGAGAACAGGTTATTTGGTAAGCTTTGCTGCAACTGCAACTGCAACTGCAACTGCAGTCTGATTGGTTTGGCACTGTGATCAGAAATCTTTTCCACCAAGCCTCTTCTCGCAAGCTCAAAATAAAGCCCTACTAAAGGGAACACTCTCTGACTGACGTTGTTGTATGTGTCTGCTCCGTTGCCAGCTACTTCCATTGTCAACCGTTTTTGCTGTTGCTATTTTGCACTCAGTTATCCAAATTAGTAGAAAAAGTAAACAAACGTAATTTACAGTCGGCTAAACCTTAAAAAAATTTTTAAAAAAATATCAAAAATTGATGGGAACTCGGCGAAAGGTATACAGAGCAACAGAAGAGACCAGCAATACGACTCACCTCACCCTTTACCATTCGTTAACCGTCGTTTCAAATATGTCAACATTGGCGTTATCACCAAGCAACAAGCTCAAGCGCTCAATCCCAAACTCACCTAGTAACGAGAATGAGGACGCATCAGATATAAAACATGACAGAGAGAAACGATACGCAAGCGGGCCTACTTTGGGAACGGAATCACTAATTTCGCCATCCAAGAGACAGCTACTCAAGCAAATGAGCCCGAATGTGTCGAAAAAGTCGAAGCAAGCGTCAGAGTCCATTGTGAAACCGCCAAATTATGTTACTGAATCCAAGTTTCAAAGACCTCAATTGCCTGTTTCACTCAAACCCAAATTGGACGAGAGATCCAAAACTTCGCTTGCATTGCCATCCACCAACTTACCTCCTTCGTTTGGCTTGCGCCGCTCCAACTCGTTACTCAATAGATCCACCAGCTCGTTATCCGAGCAATCTTTGAGCTTACCAGACAGATTCATTCCTTCGCGACACAATTCTATAAGCGGCAAACTTGATTCATCAACTGTATCCCCAGCACCCAACGCATCTCCAGAAACACACATAAAGGCACAAACATCAAAGATATATCAGCATCATGTGGCCGAAGCATGTGGGCTAGAGGTCAATTCAAGAATATTACTCTACCAACCACCACCACCACTGAGAAAAAAGCCCGTTGATCTTGCAACGCAATTGAGCCAAACAAGCAAGCTAAAGATTGGCAAGCACTCACTCCCGCCATCAATAGCTTCAGCAAGAGCGAAAAAGATTCCCTCCGCTCCGGAGAGAGTATTGGATGCACCTGGATTAGTTGATGATTTTTACTTAAATTTATTAGCATGGTCACTGTATAATCTTTTGGCAATTGGGCTCGAGGATGCCGTTTATGTTTGGAATGCATCAACGGGATCAGTGGGACTTTTGTGCGAGCTCCCAGAAAAGGCTCTAGTTTCTTCAGTTAGATGGTCGCAAGATGGATCTTATGTGTCCATTGGGAAGGATGATGGGTTTATAGAGATTTGGGATATTGAGAAGAATGTCAAGTTACGGACGCTAAATTGTGATAACCATTTGACTAGGGTGGCATCGCAAGCGTGGAATCAGCACGTATTAACCAGTGGGAGCAGGATAGGTAACTTGTACCATTCAGATGTCAGAATATCGTCGCATCTAACTGCAAAGACTGAGATTTGCCATGACTCGGAAATCTGTGGCATTGAATACAGACATGACGCAAAGCAATTCGTTACCGGAGGGAATGATAACGTCGTCAATATTTGGGATGTACGAAGCACTACTCCGTTATTCACTAAAACCAATCACAAAGCAGCAGTAAAGGCACTTTCGTGGTGTCCGTACCAACCATCCTTATTGGCCACGGGGGGTGGCTCCAACGACAAGACAATCAATTTCTGGAACACCACAACAGGAGCCAGAGTAAATACAATTGAAACAGGATCACAGGTGAGTTCGTTGAACTGGGGCTACGCACATGGCACAGGAATGGAGATTGTAGCCACGCATGGCTTTCCAACAAACAGCATCTCATTGTTCAACTACCCTACATTACAAAAAACAGGAGAGATTGTCAATGCACATGATACTAGGATCCTTAATGGTTGTTTGAGTCCGGATAACCTCACACTTGCAACGGTTGCTGGAGATGAAAACCTCAAGTTTTGGTCCTTATTTGATATGAACAAATCGACAAAGAGATTCCATGATGACGAGTTGAATGATTCAAAAGACGAGCCAAAGATGAAAAAGATGATGAACCTTCGATAGCTGTTGAGTAGAATATATTAACTGTGTACTCAATAAAAGTTCTGAAATATTTGTGAACAAAAAAAAAAAAAAGACTGAAAAAAAAAAAACAAGACCCTTCCTCTCCAGCAATGCCACGATCCCCCACAAACACCCTCATCATAACCAACTTGAATGACGACCTTCTACAAGACCCTCGCGAGTTGATTGATTTCATCTCAAGTACTCATGATCTAGTTCAACTCATTGTGCTACCCAGGTTCAACCGCTTTATACTCATTTGTGGATCTAGTCGGGTGGCTCAGTCGATGAAAAATTTACTAGCAAACGATCCCAATTGGAAATCGCTTCGCGTATCATATAGCATAAAAGATAACAGATTTGAACTCAACAAGCAGGATTTGCTTGATGCTGCCATAGGAGAGGAATATTCTCAAGTGGGTTATTTGGAACTCCCGCATGACCTCAACCTGAAGCGATTTTTGATTAGTCCCCCAATGAGTCCTCACGACTGGGATCATTGGGATAAAGTTGAAGAGGGACCAAATGAGAAGGCAATATATTCGCCGGAGGATCTATCAAGCTTGTTGTGGGAACGATTAGGCGACAATATGGTGAGGAAATATCAAGACGATTCAAAGCAAGTAAGAGAGGAGGTACTTTATGATGAAGATGGTGTGCCTGCTATCATATTGGACAAGTCGGAGAACGAAGTACAAGAGGAAAAACTTCCCAAGACCAGCATGCCATTCAACGAATAGCTATACTCTCGCTTGATAGTATATACTATAAATGGTCCATAGAATTTTCACCGAGAAAACCAAACGAAACAAAACAAACTCATTTGAATAGCAATTTGAATTAATTGTGGTAATTGGCGTTTCAGGTCCACACATTGAGAAACC